ACCCAATCTTGAAAAGGGAAGGCATCCGGAGAGCGGGATCCACGTATCGGTCAAATGTCCGCGTTGCTGGGAACGTTGGCGGCGAGGCCGTCTTGCCCTCCAGCGTTTCCCCATATTTTCTATCAGCTCTTGAAATGACACCGAAGGGGAAGCGGATCTTTACCCTCCACTGATCCCCTTTAACTCCATCAGGCACCGAGAGACCGCGACAAGGAATGTCAAAATCGCGCATCAGGTAACATTGAGTCGAGAAACAATGATTCTCCCCACGTGGAGGAGTGTCCTCAGGTGAGAATCTAGGCGAGCAGGAGATGCGGAACGGTTTTCCCACCCTTCTCCTCTTCCCCCTGGTTATAGGAGGCGAACCTAGGCGGTGGGACAACTATTAGTAGAGAATGACAGAATGACAGACGAGACTGGAGGCAATAGACCAAGGAAGAAAGAAGGTGTCTCCATTTTTTATTCCCACCGCGATCTCCTCCTCCTTCCTTCTGCAGTCCCACCCACCCTTGGGAAGGATTTCCCATCGTTTGATCCCGCTTCCTGGTCTCTTGCTCCACATTCTCCGTCAATCCCCATTCCCAACACACTCTCTCTTGCATTCCTCCACGGGGCCCTGACGCCGACGCAGCGGAGATGCGGGCGCTTCAGCCGAGGAAGAAGGGAGGGGGCGGAGGACCTCTCGCAACTGCGCCCCTTGAGCGAAACATGTGGGCTTGCGCCCAAAACAGGTCAGATGTCGAGAAATCCAGCGCCGGGCCCGGAGCGAAGCCATTGGGGGAGGGAGAGAGGGAGAGCTGACTCCGAGGGGATTGAGGTGCATCTGGCGGAAATCCAAACTCTATCCCTAGTATTCTTTTTTCCCCTTCTTCGGGGGTTTTCCCTGTGGTAGATAAGACTTGGATCTGCTCATCTTTAATGTGCCTGCTGATCATTGACGCTGATTGCCCGGAATGGCAGGGGAGACCAGTCAGCTTTGTCGATCTCCCCAAATGTGATGTTCCGTTTTGAGTGTGGTTATGAGCTGACGACGGACGTGATTCGTCGGATTTGGTATGCGTTCAAACATCTTGAGAGAGGCCTTTTGAGCAGGTCGACATATAATACGTGATTTGACGAGAGCAGAGCTCTCCCTTATTCCTCTAAACCGGGGGATATCTTTCAGGATGGATATCCGCCCTCTTCCGTCACACATAATCTTAAAAATTCAGGCCTCTCCCATCCTCAGACGAGGCTCTCACGAGGCTCTCAAGATCGGCCGTCACATTTCCCCCGTCACCTCTCCACGATAGCCGCCCTTTTCCCACACCGCCGACAGCCCCCAGGTTTCCTCGTGCTCTGGCGGAAGCGCCGACGTCCCCGGGCCCGGCGCCTAGCAGCGAACCTTTTGTCTCCTTCAACCCGTGAGCCATTCTCAAGCAGAACTGGGTGGCCTCGTGTGTTCGAAATTTGTCCCCGTCTACGTGCCCCCATTGGCCCCAATTCTGACCCTTCAATTCCCCGTGGTCATCTTCAAGCCGCCGGCTGCATGCAGTGTGACAGGCACATTCTGCGACCAGATCAATGATGTGCTCTTTTTTTTTTTTTACTCTCTTTTCCTGGAGTTATTATAAGTCGGTATCCTCGTAGATCGAAATTTTAATATTTTAAGAGTGTTTGCTCACGTCAAGTTCGTCACACTGCCAATGGGCGGTTAATTGTTGACCCCGCCATCATTCCCTTTTTCGCTCGAGGGGTCATTCAAGCGTCTTTGTTGTGTCTAGAACATTTCTAGAGACAATATCCCGATTTTCGAGCGACAGTGTGTGACACAACGTCACCACCAAGACAGTTTACCAGACTTAAGACTCGGTATCCATACTCTTGATAATTTTTGCTGTAAAGAGGGAACGACGCGTTCAATTCTCGTCTTCAGAATCCAGATTGGGTTACATTTGAGCTCTTACGCGTCCGCGTCCATCGCTGTTCTCAAAACGTCAACAGCACGTATCCATCTTGTCCATCAAGATCTTGAGACTTATCCATGAGTTGTCTCGTGGTTTCAATGGCCTCGAGTATTTTCTTCCCCTTTTTTCCCCCTTGCGTGTTTGCGAGCACCTGGCTTCGGTTTCTTTGGATAAAGGTGGCATCTTTGATCTTCGTGTAAGCGTGATTGGAAGCGGTGGTATGCGTTTCTCGTCGTAGCGCGCTGGTAGCCAAGCGTAGCCACCTGTTTTTCTTTTCTTCTCTTATTCGTAGAAATGTTTTCATAGAAAGAGAAGATATAGTCATCATATACCTTGTTATACGGCAACAGTTGATATCCCAGTGCTTTGGTTGGGAAGCGGCGCTTCTCTGAGTAGTTTTTGCTTTCGAGTAGCTATCTGAGGTTATTTTCACGATTGAGCGCCATATATCTCTCACTCGCTCACTCTTCCTTGGCAATAAAGGAAAGAAATCCATATATATATCCATTATATATATATCTTAATACCTCATAACGAGGCATTCTAGGGGTTGGCGTCCCAGAATCTTTGTTGGCTTGTCTCTTTCCTCGCGTAATCCTCCCATATACACATGGTCGTTCTCATGGATATGCATTGTCCTCTTCTCTTTTGAAGCGGTCAAATGCTAACACGATCTACTTAATCCCGGTAGACATGGCAATCGGATGTCTACGCCCCAGGTTGCTCGCCTAGCCTCATCTTATACCCGATGTGTCTCCCCAAACCTCAGCGTTTCTTGATACATGATAGACTCACGCGATGCCACGACAGCGAATGCCACCTCCACAATCTGTTTTATCGCCCACTTGAATTCTATCCAGTCTCTACAGTGAGACCTCTGGACCATACGCGATAACATGCCCTAATCGAGCGTGGGGATGAATAGATGGGAATATAATCGGACGCACCGGCTTGGAGACCGAAGCCTTTTCAAGGCCCTTGGCTTAGGAGGCGAGCCCTGCCAGTTTCGGTTTCTTCTATCACGCCTCCTCGGCCCTTAGAATCCTAAAACCCTGCTTGGAGTAAGGTGACGCTTAGGATGAAAGCAGGTGTCCGGCCTTGAAGCGGGCATACTTGTGCGGCTCTCATTTATCTTAGCCACTCAACTCAGAGTCCAAGTGGCACTCCAATATCGCGAGGTCTTCGCATAGTGACGATCACCTGTGAGATTTCCAACAATTGTGATATATTGAGGTGTGGCTAAAAGACGGCTTCGTGCGGTCGAAGGGCAGGGACAACGAGGCCCTTTCACAGACTTGGATGAGTCAAGTGCCAGAGATCTGGGCTCTTTCTTAAGATATAGTGATGGGAAGACTGCGGTCTCCAAGGGAAGCTCATACTGGTATCGGCTTTACGAGGTCTGACGTACGTACCTTTGGATCGATCTATGAGGATGTCCCGGAGCGGATGACACCACTTCGCCATCACTCTGCTCGTAGATAACGGCGCGCCGTTACCCGGCAGTTCTCTGAACACCTCACTAGACGTCAATCTCTTCATTCTTCAACATATTTCTTTACTGAGGCTTCTTAGAAACCTTGGAGACGGTGCACCAGAGGTAACCCTTGCCTCGTGGACAGGATGCCCGAGAAATTCCGCGTTTCGCTTAGGAAAGACTACCAGTGATGAGCGGCTACTTCAGAGCTCCCTCGCCGGAGAAAAGACCATCGTCCTTACTGAAGTTAAGGTTAGGTGTCATCCTGCACCAGCTTCCCCGCTGACCAAACGGTTGCCCCCGTTTCTGTCAAGGCAGCTCTGTAGGAGGACTACGATATCGGGAACCATGTCGATCACCGGTTACTATCAAAGCCCCTCGTTAGCCGACATGGAAATGGAGCAGCAATGCGGTCGTTCTTCCTGAGCTCCTCGGCTTGAGCGCCATCCCTGTGGGTAAGGGCGTGCGATACCGCCGCCGGGTTTCCGGAAGAGGTTGTGCAGAGTCAGTTTGCGTACTCGCTGGCGTGTCAAGTTGTGAGGATGAATAACAAGAGATGTCTCTTCTTGACCAGAATTCGACAGTGGGTGCTTTCTGATATTTTCATAATCCTGGAGCTAATTTAGGTCATCTCCTTCGACGTGCATATGGGGTCAGTAGGGTTGGTACGATGCGATGCCCCGAGAATTTTGAGATGATGGACGGAACGGGCGGCCCCACAGACATCTCCACCGCGGCCCCACTCGCCCCGGACGGAGAATGGCTGCCGGTGGCTTGTGGCTAGTGTCCCACACGTGTTGTTGTGGACTTGTCATACGACTGGACGGATCCTCAAGACCTATAATTATTTCTTCCGTAACGGCTAGAATAGCCAGCTCAAGCCCGATGAGTTGCCCCCTCCCTTCCGCGATGTTCTTCATCGAGTACTCTAGTGGTGCCACTCTTCTGCAACCCTACCAACACCCTTGAACGAGGGGCGGAGGGCTTATCCGAGGCAAACGAAGGTGACCCCAGGAGCTTGATTCTTTATTGTCATCCTAGGATGTTCGGTGGCTTCACTGGCCTGAATACTAAGAGCTGGACTTGTGGGTATCTAGTTCCCCATTCTGAGGTGGGAGCTTCCGGAAGACTCAAGGCTGCATAGATACATAAAGGTATTGGTTTTGATGAGGCATTTGAACCCTTTTTTAATAGAATACGGATCTATATAGCCTTTGCTATTGGACAAGTATCCCCAGCTGCCCTCGAGGCGGTGCTTGCCCCTAGATCTGCTACCCCTAGATCCACGTGCTACTACTTTTAAAACTCAAACTCTTTTCTACCAGCCTTCCCTCAGCGTCGGCAATAGGTATGGGGTCCTCTAGGGTTGGAAGACGTCAGGACGGATTTGGCTTTTGATGATCATGGTAGCCCCCATTGAAGTTGCCGTTGAATTGATGTCCCGGACCACTATTGTTGTTCTGAACCCCCGCCTGTATTCGAGTACTGGGAACCGCTGCCATTGTTGATCCACGTGTGGCCGTTGGTTTTGGGGGCTTGGAGGTCTTTGATCTGTCGGAGAGCGTCCTTTAGTTGCTGAATCAGACCCTTGATTTCCTCTGACTCGAATAGGGGTCTTCCGCCACATTGATAGTGCCTTGGAGAAGATCCTTGGTAACGGCTGTTGCGTCTTTGCCATTTTTACCCTCGCGCTCGTAAACGACTATGTTGGTGAGTTCGATGGCAGCGTCCAGGCACGGCCCCAGAGCCTTGTTCAGATTTTCGAGGTCCTTGCCATCTCCGGTGAGCTTGACGGGTTGAATGCTGTTGAACGTCGTGTGGATGGGTTGCAGCCAATTGGGAAGATGTTTGCGTTGTTCGTGCTCGGCAGGAAGTTTCTTGACTGTTTCGACAATCTTTCCGACATCGTCCTTTATCTTGGCAATTATGTTATTGAGTGATTCGGGGTTGGGAGTCGTCATGGTGAGAGAGCGGGCTGGAAAAGAAAATAGAAAAACAAAAAAAAAAAAGAAGAGATGTCTATTCGGCGGGCCTTTGTGCTCTGCTGATCCAGAAGGGCAAAGGACTGGAGTCGCGAGAGACGGCCGAGAGGGTCTCCTGTCCGCCTTTTAAATTTCCCATTCCCGTCCCCAATTGAGCTTCCATCCTTGAGAGATGAGGATCGCGAACATAGACCACATAGAGCCCGATTGGGCTCCCATCCTCAAGATGAGGATCACGAACGCAGTTTGGAGCCTTCAAGGTTGGGCAGAATCCCTCTGGTAGCCTTACTAGTCGGTTGCCGGGCCCTCCATTACCCGAGCCTGCTGTGTTCCGAACGGGGCTGAGGTGTGTGAGAGGCGCCGCTTGCTGCTGTGCGACCAACCCAAGACTACGCCTCGCAAGAGATTTCGGAGGGATTTGAAGAGGCGAGTCATCCGTTAGTCTAAGCCTGCCGACGTGGCCAACTCCATGTAGGTCAAAGACAACTATAACACCTACACGCTACGATGCAACTTGAGAATCACTCTCCGTTGAATTGCCTGTGAAATCGCCACCGCCCAGACTCGATTAGAAGAGAAAAGCAAGGTGTCTTTTGGGCACAAACATATGGTTCTGTTTTCTTTCCCCCTTTTTTTTTTTTTTTTCCAGAAAATCGATCCCACTGTCCTTGGAGCCCTGCGCTTCCGACCTTGAATGGGTAGCCCTTCCCAACCCCTCAAACCCTCAAACTCGATCAAACGCTCGCCGCCCAACATGTCGGGCCTCGAGGTCATTGGCGTCATCTCCGGCATAGTCTCGATCCTAGACGCCATCGTGCGAATCCACGGAGTGGCCCGAGAGAACCATCGGCTTCCGCCAGCCTACGATGACATTACCCACAGGGTCGCTCTGGTTCGCGAAACTCTGTCGGCGGTGGAAAGCCGTCTGGAAAAGGATACCGAAGATTCCGAGACTTACAAATCCATAGAATTGACGCTGAAGGCGTCCGAGAAGAAAGCCAACCGACTCCTAGGCCTCTACGACGAGGTGTCTGCGCCATATGGGACAGGAGTAGCCAAGAGGTACATGTTGGCAGCGCGCGCTGTGAGGAGGAGAAGCGAGGCGGACCATCTGACCAAGGACCTCCTCTTAGACGTGCAGCTTCTCACAGGGCATCACGTCGTCAAGTCGGCAACGGAGGCTCAAGTTGCCAGGCTCGCCGAGGCGATAGAAGAGGCGTCGACCCCCACCCCCGTCGAAGATAGGGTCGTGGCGGAGTTTAGGAATTATGGAAGCGGGTCGCAGAACATTCAGACCGGAAACGGATCCCAGTTCAATAACACTGGGAGCGGATGTCAATTCAATGGCACGTTTGAAGGGCCCTTTTACTTTGGCCCCATGCATGGGGTAGCTTCATAGGGATGAAATATGGGCGGTCTGGTAATTGGATGTTTTGTGTCGGAAGGGGGCTAGGATCAATCTTGGAGCTGAAGATGGACAGAGCCCGACCAAGTTGTGGAACCCTAGAAAAGACTTGATGTTTGCACATATGAGGGACTTGCCAGGCTCAAGGGAATAGAGAGTAATGTCGGAGAGCCCGGCACCCCAGGTCCTCTGCCTTGGCTCTTAGAGGGCTGGGCGCCCTTGCTGGTAGCATACTTGTACATTATCATCGGCATTTTGACAAGCCCACATCGTTGAACCATATTGTCCGAGAACACCTCTTTCTCAATATTGTGCCATGGCTACCTCGGCACACCATCTCACACACCATCTCACTCCGAAAGGAGTCGGAAAGCGGGGTTTGGCTTCCCTGTCGAGCGCAAAACGCGCAGAAGCAGCAAGGCTCGGCGTTGGGTCGACATGCCATGCACCAGGCTGTCCAGAGGCGTGGAGGGGCTTCATGCCGTTATGTAGTACAAAGACGAGGATACTGAAAATTCCCGCACGAAAAACAATAACCGGAAGAGAGGGCGGATGGCGCCCGAACGTGAGAGCCCATCAACCCTTGCATGCAGTTCGGCTGCGGACTGGATACACCGAAAAAAATAAAGAGAGACAGACGCATATAGACAAGGACTTGGTACTATGCAAACCGCCTCGACTCCGAAACATCCATGTAACGTGACGGCCAGAGCCAGCGGTATGAGAAAGGCAAAAGTGAAGTGCGCCGTTCTTAAGAAGCGCTAGTCGCCACCTGCACAGGTTTTCCAAAGACTGGCACCTTCTTGTGCTCTTTTCCGCGCCACACTTTAAGTTCGGACTCAACGTCGATTCATCGTCTTCGATATCCACCTTGTTGACCATCTCTGATTACGTTCCCCTCCACGCTAGCCAGCCTACGGTGGGTAGGTCCCACGGCATGGAGGGTTGAGCGTATGTATGCAAGACGAGAACCGGAATTGTTCCGGCTGCGTGGGTCGATACCCCAGTCCGTGGCTCGCTTACGGTACTGTACGTGGTATTGGCCACGGGGACTCTGCGGCGATGGACGACTTCCTTTCGCTCTTTTCAGAGGGTAGATGGCCAGGGTATGTGCGCTGTGAGCAGGGTCAACTATCCTCCGTGGGTGAGATGCTAGAATGTTAGCCTATGCCCCCTTCCCCAGTACCTGGCTGCAGCCTTCAACTTCTATTGAGACCCGTAAACGGCGGCAACGGTATGAACGCATATGTGGGGGCGTTACCGGCCAGTGAAGAGCGAGTTTGTGGGATCGCCGGTGTTGTGAGGACAAGGCTAGGATGCTTGACAGATTTGAGATACCCAATCGGCCACCGCGGATGACCGTCCACCTTATCGGGACCGCAGCTTTGTGCACCGCAAGAGGGGTGGGGGACCGAAGGCTCTTGCTCTCTCCGGGAAGAGGCCCTTGGCATGGGCGTCCGCGTGGCAAGTTGACCTCAGACGTGGATGGAGTTTAGGTACGATGCTTGACCTTGAATCATCATCGGGTTTCGGTCCTAGCTTCGGTTATAAAGGTCGGGCTTGACGTGGAGAGCAAGATAGACGCTGGACTTTGGCCCTTGTTCCAATATCCCTGAGGCTCGGTAAGCCGTTTTCTGCCAGACTTCTGAAAAAGGAAGCGGCTCGTGGGTCTAAGCAAGTCCAAGTACCTTTAGCTAGATTCATATCCTTGGCTGATTTGTAAGAGATAGAGTGATATCTTCGGAATATACTTTGCTAATCCGTTGTTCGGTCTGTCCTTGACTTGTCCCGACCTTCGATAAAGCCTCCTTTTGCATGTATCTAAGCCCTCTTGTTTTTCAGAGCGCCACAATGCAACGTCCATTACAGCTTAAATCTTACACATGGGGAGCGCCGCCGGAACGGAGCCGCATCCTTTCACAACATGGATGTTGAGCAGAGGGGCCCGTTTAAGTCGGACTTCCTGCTCCTTGTCCTTGGCTACGGTCCTCCTCCCTCTGTATCTTCGCGGCACCCACTTCCTCTCTTTCCATTTTCATTCCCCATCAACTCTCCTAACTCTGTTGACTTTACAGCTTTCGTCTCATCACCAACCTCTTCCATATCAGGTGTCAATCCAAGGGCGCCTTGAGAACATTCGCGCCTCTTGAGTGACTTATGAACCGCCTTGGGACGTCGACTTTAGTGCTGGCCCCCGTGCTACTCTGATCATGGAAGCACTCCGACGACTCCTAGACTTTCTAATCATATTGATACGCGGAGTTATTCACTCGAGACTCTTTCCATGGCGAACAGACCCGGTCCCGCAGGTTCATATTGACCCTGAAAAATCTGGCGATTCTACACCGGCGGCGAAAAGTACTCCGCCGCCTACTCTGAGGGGGCGCATTCTAGCGATCCCAAGCCAGATTCAGTATGTGTCCCAGACATACCGAAACCGCTACCTTCAACAGAAGCGGTTCCCACGTTGTCCGAGGTTGGGCAGGAGATCAAGGGCCGGAACCGGGATAACGGCCCCGGAGGAGAGTCCAAGCTGAATGCCACAGGCTTTCGCTCTCAAGCTCAAAACCTAGACGTGGGGGAGGCACCCAGAACAATAACCATGGCGGAGGCCAGCAAAACGGTAACCATGGGCCAGGCGAGCAGAACAATAACAATGGTACAGGCAATCAGAACAATTACCATGGCACAGGCCATCTGATTATTGGCGACCACACAAAGATAGGGGTGCCGGGTAAGTTTCAGCGATGACGCGGCTACTGAGCATTACAGCATGTGAGCTAACTTGAATGTTTATTTCAAGAGCAAAGAACCATCAAGGAACAGTGCCTGATATCTCTATCATTCCTAGGGATGAATGCGGAGGAGATCGAAGCTGATATAGAATGGAAGACCTGTGCTTGGGTAGTTCAGCATGTAACTTGCCAGGAATGGGTGACGAGCGTTGAAGGCTTGCTCTGGATCTGGGGGAAGCCTGGCTCTGGGAAGTCAACCCTGGTGCGATATATTCGACAGGAGGAATGCCTCTGGGAGCGTGAAAAACTCTTGTGCTGTCCTTCTTCTTTGACGACCAGGGCGAACAGCTTCAAACCCGGACGGTTGGGCTTCTCAGGTCCCTGCTTCATCAACTTCTTCCGCATTCTCCCGAGGCGCTGGGGAAATCGTTGCCGAATTCGAGGAGCGGTGCGTTAATTGGGGCGAGGTCGAGAAAAAGTGGCAGTGGGCCGTGAAGGATCTGTGGCGTCGTTTCCGGTCTTCTCTTCGCGAGGTCCTGAAACGGAAATCGGTCTTGCTGATTGTCGATGCTTTAGACCAATGTGCCGACCTTGATGAATCTAGCCTGGCCTCGAAGCTTCGGGGTCTTCTCGAGATTTCTTCCTCCTCCAGCTCGAAGCTTCATCTCCTCTTGACGTCTCGGAGCAGTCTTCCCCAGGGCACCGGGCCAAGCTTTTCCATATGTGTCGAGAAGGAGAACCGGGATGCTCTGCTCACTTATATCCGGAAGATATATCCCGAGGACCCCGCTCTCTGCCGAAAGATGCTCGATGCCGCGCAAGGCATGTTTTTGTGGGTGCATCTTACGAGCGTGCAAGCCGAAGCGGACAAAATAGGGCCGGAGACGATAGCGAAGAATCTCGAGACGTGTCCTCGAGGTATGGACAATTTGTATGAAAGGATTATTCATGACCGACGAGAAAAGGCCGAGTTTCTGAAACTGGTCCAATGGATCTGTTTCGCCAACCGGCAACCGTCTCTTGCTGAATTACGATGGGGGATGCTGATGGAGGGTGACCCTTCCCGGCAGTCGCTTGACAAGTGGGAGGCGGCCTCGAGTTGGTCTGACGAGGACTTTGAAAGGTGGATCAAGGCGCTCGGAGGTAAAATCATCGAGGTCTTCCAGCTGGGCGACAGGACGATGGTGCGATTCATTCACCAGTCAGCTAAAGACTTCTTCCTTCGGGGAGGGCTTGCGGCGCTCCGAGAAAGTGTGGAAGGAAAACAGAGGTCGTCCAAAGAAGAAGCGTACCAACTAGCGCACTACGACCTGTTACGCAGATGCATCCACTACCTGATGGCAACGGAAATATTTGATCTGGATATCAGCGTGGACCTCAGCAAGCCGCCGGAGCTCAACAAGCCAGCCGCGGAGCGGCATAACTTGATATCGAGGTTTCCATTATTGGAATATGCCACGCTTTCATTGATGGAGCACGCAAAAGCAAGCGAAGCGAAAGATCATAGGAAACAAGACCTCCTTCGGTGGTTCAACCAGCGTTTTATCACTCGGTGGACCAAGCTTTTCCGCATCCTAGCTCCATGGCCCGCCGACTTCGCATCACAGCTAAATCAAACAACCCTAGTACACGTGCTATCATGGTACAATTTGGGAGCGACGCTTGGGGCTGTTCTGAAAGCCGGGTCGAAAGAACGCCAGGAGATCAACAGGAAGGATGGTGGCGGCCAGACGGCCCTGTCGGTGGCAGCTGAGAGAGGGAACGTGGAGGTGGTTGAGGTTTTGCTGGAAATCGAAGGCCTAAACGCCAACAAAGAGGATAATAGGGGTTGGACAGCGCTCTCGTATGCGGCTGCGGCGGGCCGCGAGGGTGTCGTCAACCTGGTGTCCCGCCATAGTAGCGCCGGTGCCCAACACGCATTCTTTTTGGCAGCAGATCGGGGCCATGATTGTATCATTGGAAAACTCTTAGAACTGGGGTCCGAGGTCGACGCCAACGCCAAGGACGATGGCGGGCGTGCCCCTCTCATCCTAGCAGCGAGAAAAGGCCACGGCAATGTCATTCGGGAGCTCCTGACGTTTGATGTTGATATTGGCATCTCGGACGAGAACGGACGCACAGCCCTTATGGAAGCGGCGCGGGCTGACTACCTACTGATAGTCAAACAGCTTACCAACGGCCGCCGGGCTCTAGCTGATGACCGAGACAAGGAGGGACACTCGGCACTTATGATAGCAGCGAAATGGGGCCGGCTTGACATCTTCCAGTTCCTGCTCATGGAGAACCAAGAACAACTTAGTTGGAGGGACAATTCCGAGCGCACGGTGCTATCACTGGCAGCCCAGAGAGGTCATATCGAGGTCGTTCGATGTTTATTACTGAAAGGCGGGATCAAGGTTAATAGCCGGGACCGTCATGGCCGAACGCCCCTCTCCCTTGCCACGACCATTGGTAGGATTGACATGATGGAGCTTCTGCTCGGCGAAGGGGAAGCGAAAGTCGACCTAGCCGACAACGATGGCCGAACACCGCTCTTGTGGGCGGTCGAGGGGGCCAGGTCGAGGTCGTCGGCCTACTTCTGAAACATCGGGCCGACGTAGACGCCCGGGGCGAAAAGAAGAAGACTGCGCTTCAATACGCAGCATCAAAAGGCCACACGGAGATTGTGCGAAAGCTTCTCGAACACGGCGCCAATGTTGCCGCGAGGGACAAGGAACAAAAGACGGCCCTTCATCACGCGGCTCGCGGAGGCCACGTTGCGGTGGTCCAGGTCCTCGTCGAGAATGGAGCTGATGTGAATGGTCAAGACCGGAACAAGGATACAGCGCTCATGTGGGCAACGGTTCACCGTCAAGTCAAAGTCGTCCAAGGGCTCCTCGCAATGGAGGAGACCGATCTCAACCTCAAGAACCGCCAAGGCTGCACGGCGCTTTCTATCGCGGCCAAGTTGGGCGTCACCAATGTGGCCAAGGCCCTTTTGGACACGGGCAAGGTGGAGGTCGATACGAGAAATTATCAGGAGCGGACTCCACTCTCGTTCGCAGCGGAAAATGGCCATATCCTGACGGTTGCGATGCTCCTCAGCCATGACCAAGCTGCAGGCATGGTGGGGAGCGATACGCGGGGCATAACGCCACTTATTTGGGCGGTAATGGCCAATCAATTCAATGTGGCGAGGATGCTTCTCAAGAACGGGGCCCAAGATGATGCGAAGGATAGCGATGGCCTGGCGGCGAGTCGTGCCGACGTGGTCCGCCAGCTCCTCGAGAAGAGGGAGATTGCCAGATCGACAGATGGCGGGGATAGGGATGGGTTCAACGAGGTCATGCGAAATGGCTGCCCTGATACCACGATGTTGAACCAAGGCTGGGGAAATCGCATCGACGGATACGGGGCAAATGGCACAGCCTCCCGGACCGGCGGATACTGGGGAAAGGGAAGGGGATGATGGCTGGAGATCCTCGAGATCACCGTGGACTGGCGGCCGTTCCCTTGGCCACGTTCAACCGTCACGGCTCTGGCGCCGGAGCTGCGATGGGAGGTTCAACCTTGTCTAGAAACCTTGCTGGCCTAGACGTGGCCACTCCCGTAGGTGGCTTCCGTTTCCCAAACCAGCCCAGAACTCCCGGCGGCAGGATGGCAGGACATCCCAGCTCGGAATTGGCCAATAATAAAGAGAACCGGCTAGGTCAGGCAACCGCTCTGCGAAACGCGGCGAAGAATGGCAAACTTACACAAGTCCGTGGGCTTTTCAACAGAAGCATCATTGACAGAAGCATCATTGACACGCCGGACGATGAGGGCTACACCGCATTATCATGGGCGGCCACGAATGGACACGCGGATGTAGTCGCGTACCTAGTTAAAAATGGGGCCGACGTCAACTCCAACGCACAGAAAATGCCTGGGAACACTGCTCTTCTCCTGGCGGTAGCGCACTCGAAGCGCGGGACAGGCGCCTTATCCGAGGGCCATTTCAAGATTGTGAAACAGCTCCTAGAGGCCGGCGCCAAAGTCAATGCGAGAGTGGAAGGAGGACCCACGGCGCTTTTGCAAGCAGCTCGAGACGGCCAGTACGAGATTGTGGAGAATCTCTTCACGGCCGCCGACATTGACATTGGCATCAAAGACCACGAGGGCCATACGGCGCTTTCAACGGCGTGCGGCAGGGGCTTCTACGAGATCGCCGAGATACTCCTCCGACGAGGCCGCGCCCGGGCAAGAGGGGATAGCATAGCGATCGTACGTGCGGCGCAACAAGGCAGCCTAGACATCGTCAAGCTGCTTCTGGAAAACATGGAGGAAGTCGACGTCAACGTGAGAGACGAACGGGGCCGCACGGCGATCTCATACGCCGCCCAGTCCGGCAGCGTCGACATAGTTCAGCCCCTACTGCAGCGCAATGCCGACATGAATATCCAGGACAACGAGGGCCACACAGCTGTCGGGTGGGCATCAAAGGAGCGTCATCATCTTGTGATGGATGTTTTTCGTAAACACTGGAAGGCGGCTCAAAGTGATGAGCCAAAGTCCCAACACGATGCGGTCTCACCACATTGGGAGGTTCAGCAAGGTCGCTAAGCACCAGGGTTCGTTGAGGGCGTGCGGGTGATATGGTCGACATGAAGCGACGCCAAGTTTCTGGCATGGTGGGCCTGCCGGCGGTTCTTGGGATGGATGACTTGGTTGGTTGCCAGCACAGTGAGCGGCATCCCTGTTCTCGATTGAGGTTGGCTTTTCTTTTGTTAATTCAAATGTGATGTGTAGCTTTGATGGCAGATGGATGGACAGGAACAAATTGGTCTAGCAGCCCTCGGATTAAGTGAGTTTGATTAATCAAGTAAATGTAATGTTCATTCAATGTTATATATGCGCAATCTGCCGCTGGCTGTTGGGCCCATGGCTTGAAGCCATTATGCGGGTGCTGTATGCCTTGGCCTGTGAGAGAGAAATCGCGATTGTGGTCGGTGAAATGTGTCGTTGACCTGTATCCGGGACGGCGAGTGCGGGATTCGGAATTCTACACGGCGAGCTTCGCCCTTTTCATCCCATGTCACTCAGGAGCTTACATGTACAGATCCGCATCCCTCATCACATTCAATTCAAGAGAGACCACTGTCAAGCGCATTGGGTATCATTGTGTTTGTCCCAGGTCTGCAGAATATACTGGATCAAGATCCATCCCGTATCATGTCACATACCTTGCACAGCCCAGATCTTCCCCAGACCTAAGCCAACATTACTCCCCACTCACCAACCACCATTTACATTCAATCAATAGATTCCATCTCATCGCACCCTTCGCATACCCCGCAAGCCCCTCTTCGCCAAACACTGATCGCCGCTGGGGCCAATTCCCAAGCAGAAGTCGCCCAGATCCGCAAGTGTGGCGTCCTGTTCCCAAACGCATTAGTTATCGCCGACGAGAGAAAAGAAAGTGGGAGGAAGAGGGAAATGAGACTGGGTCTCTTGGAGTGTTGTTCTACTTACCGCCAAGGGTAGGCTCCAGAGGGGCTTGGAATCACCGAGCACCTTTTGCTTCAGGTTGAACGCGAGAGACGTCCCGAGCACGAGGTTGCCCTGAACACCGGCCTGATGGTCTCCGCAGACCGTGCAGGTGGAAGCTATTGGGAAAAAGGGAAGAGAACACGCCCCGCATGTTAGTTGGCCCTAACACAATTTGTTTCGTGCGACATTGGAATGACGACAAGACAACTTACCAGTAAGGGCTTTGAACGAGGCCGTAAGAGACGGTAGGTTTGCGGATAGCTCGGCGGAGAAGCCAGTTTCTGCAACACCAACATCCGTTAGTCTCGTTTCTCTCTTCTAAACCAACCCAAAAGCAAAGGAAGAGGGAGGGGGCACATGAACGCACCAACAGCACTAATCTCCAACCCGACCGAAGCCCTCAAAAACGCCGTCGCCTTCGCCTCGACCGACGCATCCGCACCCACAGGCTCCGCCTCAAACACAGGCTCCCACCCAGACCCGCTCGTGCGGTCCTCGCTCAGGAAATCCAGCCGCGCCGTGGACGCGGGGATCGTGGCCGTGCCGCCGAGCGTCAGCCCAACGACGCCTTTGACCTGGGAGATTTCGGCGCCGAGCTTCACGGCGACGGTGGGGCCGACGGTCAGCACGCCGGGGATGGAGAGCCCCGCAGGCGCGGCCTGGAACACGGGCACGCTCTGCTCGAACAGCTTGCCGGTGATTTCGGCCTTGAGGGCGAGGCCGAGGACGGCCTTGGCCGTGAGGCCCGCGGTGGAGATTTCGATCCACGCCTCCTCGGTCCGGAACTGCGTCACGCGAAAGTTGCCGCGGATGTCGAGCGAGCCCTTGGTGAAGCACTCCTTGCACGTGGCCGACACGTCGAGGCCCTCCCCGGCCGCGAAACTGACGGTCTCGCCCGTGAAGTCGCTGTCAAAGGGGACGGCGAAGTCGGCGACCGTGTCCGGGTCCACGATGCTCTTGACCGCCTCGACTACCTTGTCCGTCGCGTCCTTGCTCCCGTCGACGATGGCGCCCACGGCCTCTTCCGTGGCGTCGCCGACCTTGTCCACGATGTCTAATGTCGCGTCGACGGCCTTGTCGGTGGCGTCGGTCACGGCATCCACCACATCGTCGGCCACGTCCTGCGCCGTGTCGATGGCCTTTTCAACGCCGCCCTTGGCCTTGTCCATCAGGTCCGACGCCGTATCCGCCACGGTTTCCGCCGCGTCCGACACCGCGTCCACGACCGTCTCCCCGCGTTCTTGATGGCCTTGCCGATATCGTCAAAGAACCCCGCTTCTCCCCACTCGCCAACCCACCGGCCCTCTTCGCAACCCCACCAGCCGGCTTCCCCAAGCTGAGCGAAAACGTATGCGCGGCCTCCCTCCAGGTTGTCTCGGCGACGTCGAGCACGACGGTCTCGCTCTCGTCATTGTACACGAGCCCCGCGACATTGTACACGACGCGCCTATTATTGTTCCAGCCGCAGGCGCCGGCGCCGACGACGAGCACAAAGTGGTTCCCGGGCTCCTGATTGACCCATTGCCAGACGTCCTCGGCGTCGTCCAGGTCCGCCGCCTCCTGGAACCGGATGCGCATCTCGCCGCTCGCCGTCCCGCTGTCGGGGCACTCCACGCCCACTACCATGTCGTCGATGCGTTCGAGATTGACGATGCTCTCAGCGGCGCCCGTCATCGAGACGGTGAGCTCGGCTACGGTGCCGTCCTCGGCGGCCCAGTAGAGGATTCTTGCGTCTGGAGCTCGAGGGCGGCGCGCCGGTCGCGCTTCGAATTGCCGCCGCGACGGGGACGACGACGGGACTCATGATCATGAGGTTCTGCTTCCCGGCGGTGGCGACGAGACTACCATTGTCGGGTTCGGGGCCTCGGGTGGAGATGAGATTGCGGACATTCGTGCGGACTGGAGGGACAGACACGGCGCCCGAGTAGGTGATCTGCCCGAGTACAGCGGCTGCGAGGATCTGCGAGCGCACCATCTTTCAGAGGAAATTCAAAAGAAAGAAAAAAAAAAGTAGACGATCTTAAGATCGACACCAAAAATAGAAAAGAATGACACTTGGAAAAAGAGCGGCAAAAGGAGCGCCTGCACAGCAGAGAAATGAATGGAAAATGAGAGAGCGGTTAGCAAGCAGTGTGCACCCCTTCAGGAAAGAATGTAAATGCGACCAAAGTAGCGGCAGGGCACTCCTCTTTACGTGAGAATCCGTCAATCTGCAGATGCCCGTGGTCGTGAAGAGGAAAAAAGGAGGCTAGGCCCACGGCGACGACCACGAACGACGAGCAAAGGCAACCCACGTTGGAGGCGGAGCCCGGTGGCATTGTCTCGCCGTCTGATCAAAGTCGACCGAGCGCGAAAAAGAGCAATTGCCCCCGGCCTTTCATCGAATCCTGTCGTCGGGGATTCCCTTTTCCCTTCCTTTCTTCCCTCTTGGCTTTTCCGGAGTCAAGACCCCAATATGGAAAGTCGAGATGACAGGCGACGATTGGATGGCTCATTGTCAGTGGGCCAATGACCGATATTGACGCGGGCCAGTCTCCGGGCTCTGAGACAATCCTGTGCCTGTCCGCAGGGTTGCGACCCCGCCCAAGCCCGTTGGACGCCCCGTTTCAGCCCCGCCATTGGTTCCCCTATCTGATCCCTCCGTTTCGCATTATTTCTCCCCCTTGCCAACTCTCTCAAAGCAATTCGTCCATCCTTCCAATTGCAAGAGGATTACCTCGGTAGATCAATTGGAGTGTGATAGCTAAAGTGCACAGCCACCGGGAATCGAGGTGAGCTGCAAGAGAGAAGAGTAGCCTTCCAATTCTGCAATTGAGGGTAGCCGTTTTGATGAGCAGATTGAGCTAGAAGGGTTTTATCTGCTAAACTGAGACACAATGGTCCGAAACGCAGTTGCCACGGCCGGCTTCGAGTACGACTTGTCTTAATCCCTAACTGCGAACAATGGCATCAGCGCCAGCCTTAAGAAGTCCGGCTATTGCTCTCCTTAGCATTGATATCAGCGCCAGCATTAAGAAGTTGCTGTACTACCGTGTCATGGCCGCTCTCAGAAGCGTGGGGTCCGGCCATAGCTATCCTTAGCATTGACATCAGCGCCAGCCTTAAAAGCCGTTCCACAATTTCATAGTAGCCGTTCACAGAAGCGTGGTGAAGTGGGGTCCAGTCATCGCTATCCCTAGCATCAACATCAGCGCCAGCCTTAAGAAGCTGCTGTACTATCATGTCATGGCCGTTCGCAGAAGCGCAGTGAAGTGGGGTCCGGCCATTTCTCTCCTTAGCATTGATATCAGCGCCAGCATTAAGAAGCTGCTGTACTACCGTGTCATGGCCGCTCTCAGAAGCGTGGTGAAGTGGGGTCCAGCCATAGATTGGTTTCTTAGTATTGACATCAGCGCCAGCCTTAAGAAGCTGTTCCACAATTTCATCGTAGCCGTTCATAGAAGCGTGGTGAAGTGGGGTCTGGCCATCGCTATCCTTGGCTTCGAGGAGCGGCGATAGTCTCCTACCACTTCCACCCATGAAAGTGACGACCCCGCGCGAAAAGGGATGGACCTTGGAGGAAGCTAGCCAGAGCCGGCTTCGTTCAGCTTTCTCTTTAGCTTTGGTATTGGCACTGGCCATGAGAAGTCTCTCCACTACCTCACTTAAGCCCAAGGCCGACGCGAGAATTAAAGACGTAAACCCGCCAGGCAGGGTTTGATCCAGCACCTGATATATCTTGAACCATGCTGAAGTGGGCGAGTCGAGACGACAGCATGACACAGCCTTTTCGACAACGTCATCTCGACTACTCCATCTCGCTAAGCGAAAGTGGTGAGCCCAAAACCGAACCGCATAATCTAAAAATATATGCTGACCAACATAAGCAAGAAAGCCTTGACGGTCCTGAAGTCCATTGAGACCAGTTTCTGATTGCGGCAGCCGTTGAATACATATTCTAGCGAGGATGTGGTGCGATTCTCTTAGATCAAAAGAGCACTCCCACTTTTCCTCCATACCATCGTGAAGATTCAGTGAGCTCGAAGGTGGTGAAAGTAAAAACTCGCGGGCGGTTTGATGAAGTAGGTATACTTTGGAGTCGACAATGATGACAAAAAGCCCGCAAAGCTGCCTGACATCATTACAAAATCTCTCCTCTGGTACTAGATCATTCTCTCGCACAAGATCTTCTCTATTGGCGATAGCCAGGGCCATACTCATCTCCTTCAAAGTAAGTGGACGGGCAGCGGCGATGATAATATGGAGAAGCTTCTTCGTGAGCCTAGTATCGCGACTTTTCGATAGTATCCTTTCATATGCCTCAGAGACGGTGCGGGGAATGGCACGAACTTGTAATCGGATGTTGCCTGGTGTCAGAAGGATACTATCCTCTAACTCACTAAAAGTAAGGTGAACCCAAAGGTAGGTATGATTTGGCACCTGAGTGAGCTCATTTATGAGGATAACTTCCTCATCATGGTTAAGCTTAAGCCTTTGGCTAAGATCAATGGCCTTGCTCCTAATCACCATCTCGATCTCGGAGGATATCATAGACTGCTCTTCCTCACTTTCTCCTGCTAAGTGGATTCTTGGTAGGCTGTCAGGTAAATGTTTGTGGAAGCGCCTTTCAATGTTCGCATATGGCCGGCTAGTTAGGAGAAATCTCAGCCCCGACGTGCCTGGGGCTCTCCTCTGAGAGTATTTGCAGATAGCTTCAATTAATTCATCTCTCTCTTGCTCCTCACATTCGTCGAGGGCATCGAGAATGAGAATAGGTTGTGTTTCATAGCTCTCCATAGCCGTGATGAATATGTCCCAGAGGTCTCCGAAAGACGTAAGAAGCGCTTCCCCTTTTTTGAAAGTTTTTAAGTATCAGTGGTGAGAATGATTCTGGGCAGCTGTCGAAGGATTGGTATAAGAGAGAGCACAGTGCTATCTTTGAGGACCGTTGGTTTGGGAAGTCTTCCTTGAAAAAGAAGTAATATACCGGGCTCGTAGTTATTCTTGGCACCACGTCGTCAACCAAGTACTTGGCGAGAACCGATTTGCCGCATCCCGGGTTGGCAGACACCCAGAGCAGTCGTGATGTGCCATTTCCTTGACACCAGGTTTGGAAAAGCGAATGGCTCGTGAACCACTTACAGGTTCTTTCAACACGTGGCGGATTTCTGTCTTTGGCTTCTCGGTATGGGCAAGCTTTATATAGCATTTGGAGCCATTTGTGCATTTCATGTTCCTCCTTGTCTTTATTGGGCGTAGGGCCTATGATACAAAACGAAGTTTATCAGTTACCTGACTGGTGTATTGTATGGACACTCCCCATCCTGATCGCCATCTAACCTCGTTCGAGGCTGCTAAGAAGCCTTACCAATCTGAAAGGTGTTTCCATTTCCATTTACCGCATATATCCCATGGTTTACGACGTCCCCAACCGCGTTGGTTTGGTAACCGGTGGCGCCTGATTCGATGTTTTGTATTCCCAGTGGGCCTTGGCGTCCGAATTCAGAGTCCTCTAGAGATGGTTCGACATCAGATAGTTCCTTGATTGCCTCAGATATCGAGTCGAGTTCTCCTCCAATCTTTGGTTGAAAAGTTCGATCCAGTGCTAACTTCTGCAGTCCCTGCAAGATGTCTTTCATCAGAGCCTCGACTCGACGCGCCTTGATACCGTGAAGCGTCTTTTTGTACGCTTTACGAAGTGTAGTCCAATCCGTCGTCCCTTCCTTTTCGCATTTCTGCTTGATTTCCTCAAAGATACCGTCCAATCTCTTTGCCTTTTCATTGCAAGAGCTGACGATGTTCTGGATAGCCTTCACGTGTTGGGGGTCGAGAGTCGAGGTTTGAAGTTCATCCACGATGTTCTCCAAAATCTTTTCCACGAGAGGAAGATGCTGTTCGACTTGTCTAAAAGCCTCGGGTAATCCGGAAATCTTGCTGATAGTGTTCCATGTACCTGCGATACCGCCGATGATGCCTATCACAGAGGCGATGGGCGCGATGACTGGGTCCATCTGAGGATCTTTGTAAGATTACATCAATAGGTCTCGAGCCTCTGGGTAAGCATACGTCGGAAAGTCCTTAGAGGGGGAAATGTGTTCCGAGAGGTGAGACGCGAATGGCGGCCAAGGATATCATGGAGGGAATCCCAACCCCGCTTTCTGCCTAACCTGCATCTCACCGAATACGGGGTTGAGTCGCATTTATTGGCAACTGTTGTATCATTTGGTGGGAGCCTTGTGTCAGTACCAGGGAGACTATTAACAGGGCGACTATTATCCCGCATCCCATTGGACACCTCCGCAGACGGTTGGAACTACAAGGGGATGCCCAATTCTAAAGCTTCAAGGTCGCGCGAAAAAGTTTCGCGATCGGTTTGTAGGATCAGGTTAAGGCTAGTGATGTCGAGACTAGGAGATCACAGTCTAGGTTTCGTGCTAAATAGCACAGCTTAGGGTCTATTGAGTCCCCTAGGTTGACAACGGAGTAGCTGGGATTGCAACTAGGAGGGTCGGGTCTTCGCAGAGGTGGCGTACCAGTCGCCACGAGGCACCAGACCGTCACGATGGAAAGGTGTAAAGATGCCATCCGTTTAGCCCATGACTGACCTGACCTCGAACGTCAAGGGGTTCTCGGCGCCGAGCTGGGCATGGATACGATGTGGGCCTTGCACTTCTTAACCTAAGGCGGTTCTTATCGATCTGTCGAAATGTCCATCAGTCTAAATGCGAGAGATTCCGAAACGTTGACTATTAACACTCTTCCATACCCTCGTCCTCCTCCAGTGGGCAGCCGTCCAATGTCGTCACGCCCGCCCTAAGTTGATGGGATGACGCGCATGAGCATTGTAACATTTCTAGGAACGTTGAGGGGTTTTAACTTGTAAAACATCTGTGAAACAGCGTTTCTTGCTATTGGATCTCTTCGTGGAGCGAGGATTGGTATCATCTGTTTTCGCCGCACTCCGGAGGATGCTGAATCTGGGTAGGATTTCGTTGTTGCTATTGATGACTGTGACCGGGGCATCTAGTTTCTGTGGGGCTGTATAGGCCTTGTATATCAGGCAGATGGACTCTTACGGATCCATCGTGTAATAATAATACGTTGCATTAGATGCTGGATGGATCCAACCTAAACCTCCAATCCTCTTCCCGCCAAGACGCGCTACCTAAAGGATATAAATAGGTATTTCTCCATAGTAAACCTGACCACCTAGCCTTTGCTGCTCATCCTTATCTACTTTCCCCGCGTTAGCGAAGACTATCTGCAGAGTTTCAGTGCTCTCGCCAACCTTATATCAACGTCTCTAAATCCCCAAAAGTCGGTAGCATGAATGCTCAGCATGGAGTCGGGCATCAAACACCACTCAATGACCTAACTCATAACAACCAAGCCGCTCCTCGCGGACCCTCGTTTGTCCCACCTGCGGCGAACCATCAGCTGCGGCGGTTTTTCTACGGATACTGGACCATCTTTTGCCTCCTCGCTGGGCTTACCTTAGCCTCCTGGCCCTTACCATCATCTACTTTGCGCCCTTCTTCATCCTTAGCTGGATGCGCGCTATCACTCGGATAATAGTGACCTATCGTCACCTGCAAGGCGGAGAGCAGTCAGATCCATCGCTGAGAGGATATCTACTAGTGGAACGAGACGATAGGGGAGAGTCGACGAAGAAAAAGGAGTTATAACTACTGTGTAGAAAGCCAGGGATACTACAATATGAGGCTAGTAGACTAATCTATAGGGATCACGTCCAAGTTTAAGTCTGCCATGTTCTCTGATCCCATCATCTTTACCCATTTCGCTGTATTGGAGCTTTATATTCGACTCTGTGAAAAGAGTTTTTGTGAGTAAATTATATACTCCGAGTTCGAAATAAGGCCTTCGTATCGCTCTAGTGACTCTTCACTGAATACAGCTTATAGTATATGCAAGGTGAAGCCGTTCATGATTCGTAGGATGGGCAGTGCTTGTGCTCGCGTTCGTTCAACCTGACCATCGTTACATTGCAGTTGATATTAGTCCAGATTATCTCAACTAATCAACTTTTAGCAGTGGCTCGCCTCATCTTCTCAACTGAATGAACCAGATTAGGGAACAAGCGTAATAGTGGCAACCAAGGGTTCGTAACTCGTTCTGGTTAGTGCATCGGCACTTGAATTCAACTCCGACCAACCAGATTTAGCAGGTCGAGCGATATAGGAGCTACGCCTTTTCAAACAAGAACCTCTCTTCAGTGTATTTATATAATTCGTCTTTATCCCTATCTAGTCGAGCCATACTTGAATCCTCGCCGAGTGCACAAATTTTGATGCATCCATGGATGTGCCTTCACCGCTTCACGCTCCATGATGAACCGGTAATTTACCAACCAAAAGGCAAAATGAAGCAGCCTTGACTGTGCATTAGACATAGGATAAAGCAAGCAGTCAGCACTCTAGAGCCTGGCCATTTCCCCTCTCTCGGAGGGCCCAGTATCGCCTAGCCCTTCACACAATACCTTGGATACCAATATTTCAACTGTGATGCAACCTAGGGTTGGTCCTCTGCTATTATAGCTCGTACCACCACACTTATTGTTCACAGCCTGGGTAGAAGCTCACCCACATCGGCTCGCCAAGCTTCCTTTATGTCGGTCGAGATTTTCACAAGTAGCTTTTCTCCCCATCGCCTACAAAGCCGTGATTAAATGGGCGGAGTCGGTGCGACCAAGCAAGGTTGCTGGGTAATTTCCATCTGCCCAAGGCCCAGAGCCCGAGCAACCCTAGGAAGAGATCCATTGTAGAAAGCAAGAAAACGCACTCCTCTAACGCTATTGCTTGGCTCTGGTCCAATCTAGAGTGCGAGAAAGGCATGGATCCCTAGACCTTTCTCTTTTACTCACCCCACGTTGTGGACTGGGATCCTATCCTCTTCATGCACCTTAGCCGGAGCTTTCAAGTTTGTGTAACCATACGAACCACTCGCGTTTAAACGTTTGTGCGGGGGCGCGTTCCCCCTCGCCAAGGTAACACACCATCCCAGTCTTCCGTGTCCGTTCTTCTTTCGAATTGAACATTCTTCGTGGCTCTCGAGCCCAGATTTATTCGCATTGTTTTTAAACTCTTTCAACTGTCCGCGTTAACATCACCTACATCTCTATGCTACGCGAGCTGGGAGCCCTTGCTCTTGACTTCTTTTCCTTTTCTTTCTTTGGGAGAGTTCGCCACGGTATCCGACTAGTGTCGCATGTCTGTGGTATTTTGACGTGACTTTGCCCCCATGTCAACATCAGTCCACCACGCTTGGTATTACCAAATGTTTCCCGTACTTATATCCTTGACCAGGGCCCCGGCCGCTCTCACCGTAGCATTATCCAGGCGCGGTAATAAGGCGGCCATGCAGATTGAATGCAGTCAGACGGGCCGGGTGAAGTTCCGCGGAATAGGACAAGCACAGGAAAGTGAGGAGAGCGTCCAGCAAGTGTTGGTCCTTAGCAGCACACTGGAATTTTAGTATTTCAATCCTCGGAGCGATGTCTCTTTCTCATCTTCCCCTTAGCCACCGCTCGTCTTCTCTAGGGAGGGAATTATAGTTATCGACGCGTGAAAAGGAAAGAAAAAGAGACAATGTCCATCCTTAGGGCCGCCCTCTTTGCCCCTCTCGTCGCGGCTGCTACTCTGTCGCAGCATCAGACCGTCCGACGACGCGCGTCGGAGCTTGACAAGGCTTACGACTTTGTCATCGCCGGTGGTGGCACCACAGGTTTGACCATTGCAGATCGCCTCAGCGAAGCTTTTCCTGAAAGTTTGTCCTACTCGTTTTGGATCTCCTTCCTTTATATTACAAACCGGAAGACATTTTCTCACATTCTAACTGCTAGGGAATGTCCTCGTGATTGAGTACGGCGACAATGTCTACGCCCCAGGGGTCTTCGATCCGCCCCAAGTCATCTGGCGAGGCGAGGGAGGGGAGAGCAGCCCTGCTTGGACCTTTATCTCCCTGCCCGCCCCCGACGTCTTGAACCGGACGGCCTTCGTTCTGGCGGGCCAGTCGCTCGGCGGCAGCAGCTGCATCAACGGCCAGTTTTTCGATAGGCCGTCCAGGTGGGATTTTGAAGCTTGGAATCAGCTCCAGAAGCCCGAAAACGACGAGAGTGATCCGCAGTGGGACTGGGACGGCATCTATGAGTATTTCAAAAGGTAGGTTGATATGGCTGTACACACGGACAATATGTAGAGAAAAAGAGGAAGAGGAAGGGGTTGAGGAGCTGAGGATGAAAACGTGTCACTTGTTAGTTTCCCCGCGCTAACATCTCTTCGCGTTCAAGAGCGTCACCTTCACAGAACCACCTGATGAAGTCGTCGAGGAGCACGGCTATACTTGGGACCCAGCCGTCTACGGCGGCACCACCCCATCTACGCGAGCTTCCCCCTTTCCTCTGGGACGACAACGACGTCATCAGGGACGCGTTCCTCGAGCTCGGCGCCCCCGAACTAACAGAGTGCTCCGGCGGCGACAAGAACGGCGTGTGCTGGGTCCCGACGTCAGCCCACCCAGTCACATTCCGGCGGTCGCACGCCGGGCTCGGCCACTACGCCGCAATCCAGGAGAGGCCCAACTACCACGTGCTCCTTAACCACCAGGTCACCAGGGTCGTCTACGGCAAGGGCTGCGCGGCGAAGGCGCCCCCGTTTGTAGAAGTGCGGAGCCTGGGAGACGACAGCGTCTTCAACGTGACTGCTCGCCTAGAGGTTGTCATTTCGGCCGGAACGTTTCACACGCCTACTATCCTTCAGAGAAGCGGGATCGGGCCGTCTGATTTCCTAGAGGAGTTGGGTATCGAAACCGTGATAGATCTACCGGGGTGGGATCGAATTTCCAAGATCACTCTGGGCCTGGGCTAGAGTGGAATTGTATGTTCCCCTCTACCAATGTAAATGCAACCGTTTCCTGAGAGTCCGGGCTAACTCTATATGATATAGACACGGAGCCCGCAGATTGGTCCCCACTACCGGTCGACATGCTCAAGGATGACTTCCTCGCCGACGCCGTCGCCGGCTTCAATGAAACACCAGCCCGTGGCCCCTACACCCTCGCCATGGCCAATCTGGCCCTTTTCCTCTCTCTACCCCTCATCACTCCCAAGTACGAGTCCATCATAGCCAAAATCCGAGCGCAAGTAGACACCGGCACAGCAGCATCCTTCCTACCCCCGCGTACCGCGACGACCCCACCCTAATCGCCGGCTACGAGCATCAGCTCCTCGTCCTCGCCGACCTCCTTGAGAACCCCGAGGCCCCCAGCCTAGAGAGCCCCTACGCAACAGCCGGGACCTCGATCCCTTCTTTCCTCCTCCACCCGCTGAGCCGCGGCACCGTCAGGCTCGATCCGGCGAAGCCCCTCGACCAGCCCATCGTGGATTACCGCACGGCGTCCAACCCCGTCGACTTGGACCTGCACCTCGCGCACGTCAAGTACCTCCGCGGCGTCTTTGACACGCCGACCGTGCAGCAATATAAGCCCGTGGTGACGGTGCCCGCGGATGACGTGACGTCCGACGACGACCTCATCCAGTTCATCAAGGAAACCATGGTGTTCTCTTATATGCATCCGTGCTGCACGGCGGCCATGCTGCCGAGGGAGAAGGGCGGTGTTGTGGGGACGGACCTTAGGGTACATGGTGCAAAGGGCCTGAGGGTGGCTGATATCAGTGTCTTGCCTATCCTTCCGAGCTCGCACACCAGTGCGCAGGCCTACGCTATTGGCGAAAAGGTGAATCAAGAGACCCGCTTCCAATAATATCTATCTCTTCCTCCGCGACAGCCGTAAAGGCTATGGAGACGCTACAACGTGAGCATCGCTAACTAGGTGTGTTTTCATGTGTAGGCTGCACAACTCATCATTCAGGAGTGGTCGTAGTTGGCAAATGTGAAGGGCGGCTGACTCTACGCTCAGCTACCTGCACTTTCAACTTCGAATCGGCACACTAAGGTATTCGACTCAGACGATAGTTCAAGAAAATGTAGATACAAGTTACGGGTCGTCTTTTAACGGCGTGGAAGCTCTGGCAAAGGGTACACTTGTGTGGTTGTGCTTTCTGAATTAAAGTTCCCCGTTCCTCACGTAGAGATGATGAGGGCTTGTAGCATCGAGTATAGGGTATAATGTAGCTACAGTAATTAAACTAATGATGAGGCCTGTACTGAATGGACTCAGATAAAAGAAGAAACAAAACGGCCATCGAAAGCATGCGTGGAAGCAAATATAACATCGCTGGCTCGTCAACTAACCCCCAGATGCACTTCTCTTCAAGATCATACCTACATCCTCTTCCGCGCTCCTATCCAATGTACTACGCCTCCTTCAAGGCTTCCTGAAGCACCTCTACAGAGAGTGAGTAGGCTACCTCGCGCTCCCTCCACTCCACCGACCCTTCCTTGCACCCCTTGTCAAAGGCGTGCGCGACATCCTCCAGCATGCGATGCACCACGCGGCGTCCCCCACATTTAGGCGGTCGGCCAGCGCGTTGGCCTCGGGAGCGAGGCCGTCCCCATCGCAAGTGAAGATGGCGACGGTAGGCGGATAGGACGCCAGATCCGCTAGGGACGGGGAGACGCGGGGGTCCAGGCGATCAGCCGGGTCCGGGGTGTAGCACTCGTTGAAGTAGCGCTGGAGCGGAACGGGGAGGACGCGCTTGGGCTTGGGGGCGACCTTGGCGGCGGGGCCGATGGAGATGTCGGTGACGGGGTAGAAAGCGACGGCGGCACGAAGGTCCAAGCCGGGGACCTGGCCGTGCAGAGAAGAGGCCGCAACGAGGGCGAGGTTGCCGCCGGCGCTAAAACCGCTAACGGCCACGCGGGACGGGTCTAAGCCGTACATCTGACGGGCTCCCGCATCCGAATCGGCGGCGACCCAGTCCAGGACGTCAGCGACATCGTTGACAGCACCGGGGAAGACAGTCTCCGGTGACTTGCGGTAATCGAGGTCCAAGACGGCGATGCGGGCGTCGCGGGCCACGCGGGCACAAAAGTCGGCGTCGGTCCCAAACGCATTGATGACGAAGCCGCTACCGTGCCAGTTGAGCAGGACGGGCGAGAGCGCCCCCTCGCCCGAAGGGGCGTCGCGCCGGGTGTAGAGGAAAGCGGTAATGGTGCGGCCGCCGTCGCGCGAGGGGATGCGGATCTTGCGGCGCTCGACCTCGGGGGCTGGCGGAAGCGGGGGCGAATAGGGAGAAGAACTTGACGATCGCGCGTAGAGTGGTCATGGCGAGCTTGAGGCGGATGTACCGCAGGGGAGCGTGTTGGCCGGGCATGGTGTCTTTGTTTGCGCTTCTTCAGCCTACTAATCTGTGTGTGTGTGTGTGTGTGTGTGTGTGTGTGTGTGTGTGTGTGTGCGTGAGATGTGGCTGCTTCACCTTCTTGTTATAATGTGAGATGGGGAATCGCCTATGAGTGTATGTAAGGGGAGAAGAGATACTTTTCAGTGAGGAAAGGGGAGGCGAGATGAGGTCAACTCGGAGACGTCGCTAGACAGGAGAAAGGGGGCTTTCATGTGATGCAGGGGAGGTATAGTCGGGTAAGCCGACCGTGGGGAGGAGGTTTCTGGGCCGTGCGCTCGCGGTAGTCGCGCATACGAACACCCAATTGTGCTGCCTATAGCTCCCAGCGTCGGATTCAATCTAACGCCCGGCAGCCCGTATCCACCGTATTAGGCCCCGTAGACTGGCCCGGAGCCGTGATATTTGGGGAACATCTAAAAATGGCGGGGTTCTCTACATATCTCTTTTTTTATACATTAATACAGATGCATCTATTCTTCGTACATCACGAATTAGTTCATGCAGAGAGAGTTTTTATTCTTCAAGAACCAACATGTACGGAGAGAACTAGGACCACGCTTGGAACGTTCAGTTCGGATTTTTCGGGAATTAGAGCGATTCGCTCACGAGATAGCCGTACAGGCGCTGAAGGAACCACAGCGTGACGAGGTGCTTATACTAAAACGTGCATGATATTCTCCAATCGACGAACAAGATGACCTCCAGCAGCCGAGGCACATCTTCTTCACCACAGCCGCTTCTCATTCCACTCCCATTTTTCAGCCAACTCCAACTGGAGGGGTAGCTTCGAAACACACCCAATACAAGCTTCTCCAATCGGGGTAATCGCACACCCAATTTTCCCCATACAAGTAGTCCAATCTCGCATCTCTCTCCTCATGTGAGGTACCATCGTGAGGTACTGTGGCGGGGCGAGTACTACAATATTGACGCTTTTAAGGCAGAGCATTACAACAATCAAATCATTGGTTCGGTGGTGTAGTTGGTTATCACGCTTGTCTAACATCCACAAGGTGCTGGACACAAGAGGTCCCCGGATCGAGCCCGGGCCGAATCATCGAGTTCTTTTTTTTTTTTTTTCTCCACCTCATCTTCCTTGCGCATTTCATTTTTATTTTGCGCCTTGCTTTCTTTTCACTCCGCTTCAATCATCTTTCTCTTTTACTTGAATATTTCTCTCCTCTAAATAGAAAAATCATAGTTGATTCAACAGCTGCCGTTGTTGAGGTATATCTACGAAGAGGCCTGGATGCTGGGTCATTTTCTCGGAGAGCGCGATATAGGACCATACCAATTTCAGATTCACTTCGGGTCTCTACATCTACATGTACAGTTTAATGTTTAAAAATTCTGGTAATGATAATTGTGGCATTCTGGTTCTAACTAAAACTGAGATGACAACGTATGAGGAGGGAGGGACAGTGAAACATCAGAACAGCATCTTGCAAGCCGCATCACTTGAAGATGCAAAGTGCAATCTCACTCTTTATAGCGTTGAAGTGGCCGCTTTAGTCAAGAGTTTAGGAAGGGAACAAGTGCCTTCCCTGTTTGTCTGGGTTTGTATATTTCACCTGGCTGTGATTTCTTTTCTTGTAGTCTCAATACTCAGACAACCAGTAAAACAGATATGGTCCTGATGCAACTGCTCTCGCCCCAACTTCTACCCTGTTCTGGTCTCCTGTCCTTCTCTAATGTTGGAGGGCTGCAAGTCTCTGCTCCTCGTCATAAACACATATGCAAATGATTCTCTGTCAACAAAAACAAGACACCCTCCCTTTCCCCGACTCCCAAAAGACGCCAATCGCTCGAATGAGTTAAATGAGAAGATAAAACAGTTTGTTAAGAAACGGAAAAGGATTGCAGCTACAAGAACGACCAAGGTTCTCTGTGCATTCTAGTAAGGTAGACGCGGCGTTCTCGCACCTCGAGATAAAGGCCAAGGCGGCTCACCATCTCTTGTCAGTCCTATAGTGTACCATAACCCTTGTCGCTGAGGACCAAAGGGTAGGCGTGGTTTTTTTCCCACTAGTTTTGTGGAGTGGTAGTGTTTTTTTTTTTTTTGTGTGTAGTTTTTGTAGGGAGGGAGGGACCTGGGCACGGTGACCGGGGTCTTCCTCTGAGCAAGTCACGACTAGGCCGACTATCCAGCCGGGGCGCCGTCCGCCCTCATGTCGTCCATCTCCAGTTCGATGCCATCCGGAATACTATCCTAGATTCCTGGATTGGCAAACGCATCGGGTGGGAGGTTGGCCTGGGGAAAAGAAAAAAGAGAAGGGTCAGTTACTGTTGCTGATACGTGGGAACGAAGATTTGGGGGTGTATGGGTATGTGTGCACTCAAGGTAGCACTCCAACGCAACGGGAAAGTTATCCTTACCTTTCGCTCATTGAAAACAATCAACGCCTTATCAAAGTTCCAAGCCACTGAGGCGTCGGAAAGGCAGAGCTCCGCGTATTGCGGAGTCATGCCCGTTTGCTTGCAGAGTTCTGCAATCATGGCGGCCTGCTGCTGTTGCTCGGCGTTGGGGGCGGCTGGTGTGGCGCTTTGCGCCGGCGCAAATATGTTGGGAAGTGGGCTGTAGGCCCGCAGCGAAAGCATGTCACTGACCACCCGAATTGGATTCTTCCCAGGCACGCCGGCTCCGAGTATAAAGGTTCGCGAGAAGCTCCGCTTGCCAGTCGAATTTGTTTTCTGGTCAAACTCATCAAACTCGCCATGGATTGTTACAATCAAGCCGTCGACGCCTCGCCTCGACTGCCCAGAGGGTCGGCGAGGCCGGGAGCACATGGCAGTCCATGATGTACTTGCCCACCTCCTGCTTAAGATCCGGGTGTTTCGAAGCCGGGAGAGATTTCCACAGCTCCGAGATGAAAGTTGCGCCTTTGAACAGACGCTGGACACGGGCAGGTTGGTGGGTAATCTTCGTAAGGTTGCGCGAGAATTTGAGATATGCCGCCCAGGGTAGGGGCCGGTTGGTTGGGATCGCGGGCCGAGTTCGTGTCAACCGCGAGCGAGAAGGCGCTCGTCTCGTCGTAATACTTGGCCACAATTTGGGGCCGGTTGTTGTCGTAGTTGGTAAAGAAGTCGAGCAGGAAGTTCTCGCCAATACTATTGGCATCTCGGAAATCTGGTCCGCCTTGGGGAAACGGGCGAGGTAGGGATGCTGCCTCGGCAGCGGCCGCCTGCTCCGGCGTGCGAACCTGGATACCGTTGAGATCTTGTAGGGTTGGAAACCACTCCAACATGGTGGTCTTATAATCTGGCTGGCCCGCCTCAATCGGGTTATTGGCGAGGTACAGTGCCCGGAGGCGCTTGAATTTGCCCCTCAGGCCGCGGAGACCGTCAATGGTGGAGATGTTGTTTCCACTTAGGTCGAGGTTTTGCAAGTCGGGGAAGGTATCGCCGAGGACGGCAATGGAAACCACGTTATCGATGGAGTTGTTGGCAACGCTGATGCTTTCAATTGCGTCGCTCTTATCCTTTCTCGTCTTGAAAAGATCGTCACAAACTCTCATCAAAGCCTTGAACATCTTTTCGGCGCGCTCTGAGCTGTCAAGAAGGCCGGCCTGTACGATGGCTGGGTCGGCGCTCAGGGCGTCAAGCTTAAGAAGTTTGTTTTCGCCGATGTATCGGACGCTGAGGATGGATTGGAGGTGGTCTCGAAGCACTTTGACATCCGCCGAAGGCTCAGGACCACCTTGCGCGTCAATCTCAACGGACAGGGCTGTTCCTGCAAAGGTAAAACTATTCACTTTGAGAAGTTCCTCCGAGTCCTCTGATGTGGCGGCGACTAGAACGTAGTCTCCTTGTTCTCGATGCTGGATCAGGGGCGGGGTTCACGTTAGTAAGGCCGCGGGGAGGGCTTCAATCGGGGGAGCGGGGAGAAAGGAGACGGGGGATGAAAAAGGATCTGATCGGACTCCAAAAAGAGGCTCAAGCAGCCGGAATGGTAGTTATTGTCGCTCGCGTTTGAGGAATCGTAGCCATCCAGGGCGAGTTTGGACCATCGGCTTCGCTTTCGAACCTCCCCCAAATCTCCTCGTCGGGGAGGAGGCAACTCACCTGCTTAATAGCTACTGGTCGGTTATTGCTTCGGGTCGCCAAGGAAGTAGCTTTGCGTTCGAGGAAATGTAGTAAGTCTTTGAGTCCGCCGCCCGGGTTCGACGCCGCTTTCGATTCCTTCAATCCCTTCACCTTCAACCAAACAAGCGTCACTGGCCCTCGCTGGGATCGAGTTGACACGTTGGAAATTCGTGAGACAAGTGTAGATCCACTATTCAGATGGCGGGCAATGACCTCGGCTTGCTTGCTTGGCATTCTCGTCGAGCCACCAGCGGTTCCACGGCCACCTCGAGCCCCTCGGGCGCCACGGGTAGGTCGAGAAGTGCTAGAGGTGGAGCTGTCGCCACCGACGGCAGGCCTCTTGGCGCGCCGACCTTCGCCATCCATATCGAGATCACCATCCACGTCGGCTCGAGGGGCAGCCCGCTTCTTTTGAATGCCGCCACGGGTCGCTGGGCGGGTGGACGTCGCGTTTCGTGCTGCTGGGCGAGCGGCAGAGCCACCGCGGGGGCCTCGGGGGACCCATGTCGACAAGTCTCACGGTGGTGGTGAGAGGGCTGCAAGCGAGAAGGAAAAAGAGATACGTATGCGGGCACGGGAAATGCTAATCGGTTTCGGCGACAGCTGTGCAAATAAAAGGTGCTGGCTGAAATGTGGGTAAGGGGAGCGAAGGAGAGAAGAAAAAAATTGATTTCCAAATCGCGGGTCAGTAGTGGGGGAGAGAGACGTGGGGACAGAGAAGGTGATGCAAAAATCGAGACGTGCTGCACGTCTGCCCTCGTGCTCTCAACCCGTGAATGAAACTCGAGTGTGGGCTGTCGGCGTCAATGAGAATGCCAGGAGAGATCGGAATGCCTAAGGTGATGAGGATTGAAAAAGAGGTGTTATAGGGCGACAAGAAAGTGAGGCATGGACAAAGTAGAGGTTAGAGTTTAAAGAATGAATGGAGTAGGTAATCAATCCTTAACGCATGGCTTCAAAGGAAGGAAGGTGCATTCTGGCTGTTTGTTCTAAAGTCAGGAACGACGAGTCACTCGGTGGTTTGTCATCCGTCCTTTTTGGACCAATCAACGACGCCTTTTTTCCAGGCTGCCACTCGAGGTTGCCGCCTGGATCAGCGATGCTTCGCTTTAACCGAAGTTCGGACCATTGAATGGCGGAGTGGAAGGGAAATCGAGAAATTCAAGGCAAGCCCACCTCGGTAGAAAATACCTGACTCTGGATAGCAACCCACTGGGCTACGCATCCAGCCTTCTGATACCCGATAAGATGACTTTCAAGAGGCTGGAGCGACGCAAAGGGAACCTCGAACTGAACATTTCACCTCAATCACGTGATAAAGCGCCTCTTTCGTGTTTTCGACCCCAGCATCGGCTCTTCACGCGTCAAGGTCGTGACATACACAGCACTCTCTGTTTGGTCCAACCGCAGCAACCAATCCCGACCCCGCCATCATGATCTCTATCAGAAATGGAATCTATTATTGTACAAATATAGAATCTTAATTTTTCTCCCTCCTTCACCCATCTTACGTCTAGGACCCTGTCTAGCGCTGTCGCTATCATGGCAGACGAATTCTTCGACGACGACCTTGACGACGACGATCTCCTTCTTGCAGTTGATGAGGTGCTGGTATCGCGAAGCTCGGCACCATCTTCTTCCACATCCGGGGCCGTAGTACCGCCGGCCTACCAGAACAATTCGGGCTTTCAGTCAGTAGCAACGATACCTCCTGGGGCGACAGGCGCTCGACCGCCCGGCCCACCACCGAACCAGCCGCCGAGAACGTTACAACGCCAAATCTCCATCCCGAGACAGCAAACCGCGTCGCAGTCGCGCCAGGGCCAGCTCCTCCGCCAGGCAACGCTCTTTGGCGATACAGTGCAGGGTAATGAAGGCGACGAGTCGCGCGCAGCGCCGGCGGGGCCTACCGGAACGATGCAAACCGAGAGGCGCCCACGCATCACGAGCTTGACGACGAGGCGCTCAAAACGTGGGTGTATCCGATGAACCTAGGCGCCATCCGCGACTATCAATACAGCATTGTTAAGAACAGCCTTTTCAACAATACTCTCGTCGCGTTGCCCACAGGTCTGGGAAAGACTTTTATTGCTGCCACTGCCATGCTCAACTTCTACCGCTGGACGAAGAAGGCTCAAATCGTCTTCGTCGCGCCTACAAAGCCGCTCGTGTCACAACAGGTGGATGCCTGCTTCAACCTCGTCGGAATCCCCGCTCGGAAACGACCCTTTTGACGGGCGATATATCGCCAGGGCTGCGGGTGGAGGAGTGGCAGTCGAAGCGGGTATTTTTATGACGCCGCAGACACTCCAAAACGACTTGTCCGCCGGCTACGCAGACCCTAAAAACATCGTGCTCCTGGTTGTAGATGAGGCACACCGCGCGGTAGGAGAGTACGCATACGCCAAGGTGATCAAATTCATACGGCGCTTCTCAAACAGCGTCCGAGTACTGGCCCTGACCGCCACCCCTGGTTCTAAAATCGAGACGGTGCAGGAGGTGATTGACAACCTCGGCATATCCCATGTCGAAATCCGCACCGAAGAATCCCTCGACATCCGCCAATATGTCCATCGCCGAGACATCGAAGAGGAAGTCCTCGATCCGTCAGACGAGATCAACCAGGTAAAAGAGCTCTTTAGCCTGACGCTCAAGCCTCTTGTTGAAAGGCTCTCGCAGCAAAATATCTACTGGGGTCGAGACCCCATGGCACTGTCGACGTTTGGCCTGCTCAAAACCCAAAAGGACTGGTTCGCTGGCCCAGGTCGGCGCGCGAACCAGGGGCTTCAGAGCATGATGCGGGCCATCTTCGGTGTGCTCACGAGTCTCGCCCACTCCATCAAGCTCCTCAATTTCCACGGCATCAAACCGTTTTACGACAACATGGCCACGTTCCGGAGCGAAGTCGAAGCTAAGGGCAAGGGCGGCTCCAAGTATCGAAACGGCATTGTAAAGGACAAGAATTTTGTGGAAATGATGGACAAGATTGAATCGTGGCTGTGCATGCCTGATTTTGTTGGCCACCCGAAACTCTCAATTCTCACGGATAGGATCCTGAACCACTTCATGGACCAGTCTACGCAGGCTGCGACGAGCAAGGTGATTGTTTTCAGCGAGTACCGCGACAGCGCCGATGAGATTGTCCGAATCCTCAACTTCCACCGGCCCATGATCCGAGCCAACATTTTCGTTGGCCAGGCCGACTCGAAACGATCTGAGGGAATGAAACAGGCCCAGCAGATCCAAACCATCGAAGACTTCCGAGCCGGCAAGTTCAACGTGCTGGTAGCGACATCTATCGGCGAAGAAGGCCTGGATATTGGCCAAGTTGACCTCATCGTCTGCTACGATGCATCAGCGTCGCCAATCCGAATGCTGCAGCGCATGGGTCGAACCGGCCGAAAGCGAGCGGGAAGGATCATCCTCTTGCTCATGCGAGGCAAAGAAGAGGACAATTACGCCAAATCTAAGGATTCGTACTCGGCGATGCAAAAGCTCATCTGCGAGGGAGCCGCTTTAACTTCCGTTTCGACCTCTCCACGAGAATCGTGCCCAGGGGCATCATGCCAGCCGTCGACAAGCGCACCATCGAGATACCAGTGGAAAACACGCAAGTGCAGGGCCTCCCCGAGCCCAAGAAGACGCGGGCACCGAAGAAGAAGAAACCACCCAAGAAATTTCACATGCCAGACGGTGTCATCACAGGATTTGTCAAGGCGTCAGATCTGGGCAAGCCCCGCCGCCGCCAAAGCAAAAGACGCCCGAGCCCCTCGAGACGGACTTTGTGGTCGACGTGCCGCCGCTAGACAAGGTGGCACTCACAAAGGCGCAGCAGAGTCAGTTTCGAAGAGTGTACCAGCTGGTGCATGGCCACCAGGAGGAGAATGTGTTTGTAGACATGAGCAGGCACCCTGAGCTGCAGAGGACATTACGGCCGACCGTCGGGGTGCGCCACGGGCACTACACAAAGAGAGTAGTGAATTTACTCGGTCGTATCTCCAAGGAAACGCAGTCGGAATACCCGCCGCTCGATCCTCCCCGCTACAGGCACCTGCCCATGCCGAGGCTCGTCGACTCCTCAGGGAGATGGCCCAACCGGACACCGCGGAAGCGGTGCTCGAGGTATCGGAGGATGAGGGCCTAGATGTGGAAAACAACCACCCGCGGAAGCGACCCGGCTCTCGCACTTTGCGTCCTCGGACATCGAGGAGCCCCCACACCTGACGAACCGGGCCGCTTGAAGAGAAAGAAGCAGAAGCCCGCGCAGGCGTATGCCCGAAACCTAGACGCCGAAGGCGACACCTGTGATTCGGAAGAGGAGATTCGCGGCGACGACGGCGACGACGGGGCCGATTTGCTGGGGTTCATCGTGTCCGACTCGGACCTGGAGCTTGAAATATCACCTGCACGCAATAAACCAGTAAAGAGCATGAAGATGAAGAAGCCTCTGAAGGGTCCGAAGGAGGAGAGGAAGAAGGCGACGGCAAAACCGAAACCAAAACCCAAGACATCCAACACGCATGCTCGAGCTACCTCCATCCTCGATGACGATGATCTATTTGGAAGCGACGACATGCCCTCCTTAGCCAGCTTGTCAACAATAGCACGGTCACCACCGCCGCAGCCCTCCAGCCGAATCGCGCAGCGGCGTCGGTAGCGGGGAAGGGCGGAGCCACAACGGCGCCTGTGAGGAGTAAAACGAAAGTGTGGGTGGTGGACTCGGACGAGGAGAACGACCCATTCGGCGATGACCTGGCACTCATTGCAGGAGACATCAGCGACGGGCTCGAGGCGATGGAGACAGGGACGCAGAGGGGAGGGGAAGGAGGACCGTGGTAGCGGATAGTGAGAGTGAATAATGTTTACGACGGCTCATGACTATTCTTTTTTGTCATTTCATCCTCTTCATTTCGAGGGGCTTACTTGCTAGGGTGTGTATCATTATATATGGCAACGGTGTACCAGGTCTTCGGAAAGACGTCCTCGTCAACCGGTTCACGAATATATTAGAAAGCATTGAAGCGGACTCTACGATTGCAAAGGAAGTGCCTCCATCCCGCGTGATTATCATAGATCCCCAAGATCCCTCAATAGAAAGAACTTATCGGTCTTGGGGCATCAGGAAACGGGGGTCAAGAGCGGGTTAAACACATCACGCCGATGAGGTTCATAAAAACGGCGCCCAGCCACCACCGTCACAAGCTCAACAGGTGTATGCCCAACATCTTGTCCAGTAAATTATGTATTATATTAGGAACCGTCTCATTATCTAGTCCTCGAACCTGACATACGTCCAGCGTATCGAACTGTACTCCGCGCCATCCCATCCAACCAAACCTCTCCATACCCTCCCTTCTCCCTACCCACATGTGCCCTCCTAGTCGAACAAGAAACACGCTCACAAACCTAAAAGTCAACCGAAAAACTCCCACGTTAGCATCAGGCCTCTTCAACAGATGAACACGTCGTCCCGTCCCCCACACCAGAGACGGAGACACATGATAGAAAAAAAAAAAAAAAAGAGTTTGATCGACTTTTCCTTCCTTCAGAAACCAATTTTAAAGCACAACTCTACCCCACCGGGCTCCTCCCCCTTCCCCACCCCACCTCCCCCAACCTCCGCCGCCAGCATATGACGATACGACAGCGAAGGGGGTTTGGCAAAGTGAAGGATCTGGACGGGGAAGCGAGAGAGGAGGCCACGGCACCCGCGATGGGGTCGAGAGGAGTCGGACCTCTCCGGGGCGGGGTCTCAGACGGCTCTTCCTATGCTTGGGTAGGTTTTGGGTCTCATCATCGGTCGGAATTTTTTCATGGTTTTTTTGGCGGGTTCGTTTCGATGGAGGAGCGGGGGCCGCAAATCTGGGTGCAAGACTCCAACGTTCGCCTCTCGAGTTTGGGGGTTTTTGTCCCCTTTCCGCTGTGCTCCACGCCCAGCGATACAAAGCTCAGAAGGCGCAAAGGGGGAACAACGAAGAAGAAGAAAAAGATAGCCGTATCAAGCTTACCGAGGAGAGGAGGCGTTCCGACCGTCCAGACTGAAAGAGCAGACGCGGGCGATAGAGAAGAGATTCCCAGGGAACAGACGAGGCTCGAAAGGGTGGCTGACAGCGAAAAGTCTTGAGATGTCAAGTAGAGAAGTGACAAAAATAATTAAGAAAAAAATAAACGAAAAAAAAAAAAAAGAAAGAGAAAAATAAGATCTAAAAGTCAAGTCAGTGGTGGTAGAGGGGAGAAAGAGTAGGTCCTGATTTTCGGTGGGATTTTTTTCCGAGCTGTTTTCTTGCAAGGCGGGTAATCTGTGGCACTTGAACCGAGCCAGCCCTGCCTGCCGCTACCAACTGCCCATTGATGGAGGGAGGAGGAGGCCGTGATTTCCAGAATTTCCAGATTTGAATATTAAAGGCCGGCCCACGAAGTTCGGACATCGAACATTCACACGTCGCACACATTGCGTGAAGTCAAGGAAATGGGGAGCATAGTTTCAGTATATTCGAAAATCCCCTTTGAAGTCAGCTATCTAATAGTATTCCACGAAGTCTCTAGCAATGCTGTCAAAGCCAGCTATTCATTCCGCCACATGGTGGCGTATCAAAGGTGCCCCCAATCCAGGTCCTGCTCGCTTCTCGCACTCGATTACTACAAAGCAATATCACTTTGAAAAGGCAATGTAGGTGTGGCACATAACAGAATCCCCTAGATCTCGAGTTGTATTCAAATGAGAAATTAAGAAGAAAAATCCCCTACAAGACGGCTCAGTCTGTGATATCTGATCGGCCCCTTCATTATGTATACCCCCGTCTGAAACCGCCATGTTTCTTTCCATCCGCATATTGATCTCTTCCCTCCACTCTCTCCTCAGAAATTTTAGGTTGGTTTCCAATCTGGCCTCGGCTCTTTTCATCCACGAAAAAAGAGAAAACAAATAGATGAGATGAGATAAACAATAAAAAGACCAAGGGGAGAGAGAAACGACATCACACAAAACAAAATCCACCGCAAGGCAGCGGACTGCCATTGACAGATCCCCACAGTACACAATGAGAGGAAAAAAGTAAGCGGGATGGAGAGGGGCGGCAAGGCTCTTGAATCTTTGTGAATCTTCTTTGTTGTCTGTTTTTGTTTGAAAGGCGTTCTGGAAATGTTACAAGTAAAGAAACAAGAGGAGAGGTCGAGACCAAAGGAAAAAGAATCCAGATAAACCGAAATTAGACATGCAGGAGAGGAAAAGGGCAAAAGAGAAAAAGAAACCCCGTCCTGAATCCCAAGCCACTTTCCGTGCGGTCCGCCTTCAGAAGTATCATAATCGTGTCATAATCGTAAAATGGGGAAGAAAAAAAAGGACATAATAAACAGGAGAAGGGTGTTGAGTTAAAAGCCAGTCTACCGAATGTGATCGGTTTAACCTGACTATGCTGTGCCTCGGGTTTACTCCGCAAAGTTGACATAGTCGTTGGTGTTCCAGTCCATGCTCGTAAACATGTCTTGCGTGGGTTGAGAGTAGCCCATGCCCGCGCTTGGCATCTCGGTGGAGAAGAGTGGCTCAAAGTTGTCGATGCGGGCAGTGTCTGGGAAGAGGGCAAAGTCGGCATTGAAGCCATCATCACACTGCGTAAAATCCTCAAAGCCCTCATCCACAACCTCTTGAAGAGACTTGGGGGTGTAAAGCATGGCGCTCGGCTGCCCAATGGGTGAAATGTGGGGAGTAGGCACAAAATCGACTTGCCCTACACCCATCATGTCAGGGTAAGCCAAGAAGGGCTGCTGGGGCATCATCTTCTGAGCAAAGATGGCCGGGTCGGGAGTGGGAAGGTGCGCACGCGCGGTGTAGAGGTCGTCATCCAGAGTGAAGCCGGTACCATCCTGGAATCCAGAGTAGTGCTCAAAGGGCCCAGTGGAGGGGTATCGACGCCAAAGGGGTCAGCAGGGGAGACATCAAGGTCCAAGTCCACGTCCATGGTATCGAGCTCGGGCAGATGCAACGGTGGCTGGTTGACACCGTTGAAAAGCTCGTCGTGGGGAATGTACTTGGGGAAGGTGATGCTGTTGTCTGGCAGAGGCATAAACTCTGCCGTCTGCGCGGGCGGCGTCTCAAGACCAATGTGGCTCTCGGGTGTCGAGATGTTGGTGAGCTGAGGCGTAGGGTGGACCGTGCTGGCCGCATCACCAGGCTTCTTGCGATTCGTCTTGGTTCGCACGTACGTCCAACCGTGAGCCTTCTCCATGTGCTGTTTGCAGTTGGACTCACGCTTCGACTTGTACGGGCAGGGCTTAAAGGTGCACTCAAACATTGGGGGCGCCGACGAGTGCTTGTCGTTGTGGTGGCGGTCCATTTCCTTCTCCGTGGGCCATCCATACTCGTGGTATTTGCAGCTCTTCACGGGGCACTTCCAAGGGCGAGAGTGAGTCTTTTCGTGCTTCGTCAAGTCGCAAGGGCGCTTGAACTCCTTGTTGCAGCCAGGCTCGCGGCACTTCTTAGGAGCAAGCTCCTCGGGAGTGGGATTCTTCTTTCTCCGGGCCATGGAGCGGAGAATGTCTTCCTCCTCCTCTTCAACGTGGCTTGACGATCGCTTGATCCTGAAGGCAGCATCCTTGGCATCCTCGTCGCCAAGGTCAACAAGCTCACCAGTAAGCATGGAGAAGGCCCTGCCGTCCTTCTTCACGCGGATGAGTTCGACGGGACGACCGTTCTTGTTTACGCCACCGTGGAGACGGACCTCGTCAGAGCTGCGAAATAAAGTGTTAGTAATTACGAGGGGATCAACCGTTTGCGTTTGGTAAAATGCATACATATCCAGCTCCATTCCGTTGGGGCTGTTGCCGGCGGTTAATTCTTGTTGCTTGGCGTCTGCTAGTGAACTGGCGTACTGTCGGAGCTGCTCCTCCAGGTCCATGAAGTAGAGGTTAGTGTAAGGGCGGTCGTTTGGCCGAATCTGTTCGCGGTCGCTAAGGTACTCGGCAGTTGTTTGAATGCAGCGAACGGAGGTGAGGCAGAAATCGAGGTAGAGCTCGGCGGTTTTCGTCCTCTCCTTCAGACACAGTGACCGATAAGTATCACCCCAAACGCCAGAATCGTTGATAAGTTGACTTACCGGAGCCATGAAAATAAGAGTCTTTTCGAGATCCCTCAAGCAAATAATCTCTCTGTCACTGATGCGGCGGGGAATATCCAAGACGATGGGGGCAAAGTCCTTCAAAGAAGGCTTGGCAAGCAGGGGTCTTAGGGTGTACTCCTGAATGCGGGCCCTGGCCTTTGACTGAGACCTGGAAGGTTCTCGGAGGTGGTGGCGGCGGACCTTGTGATGGCCGAAACAGCAGCCTTTCGAGAGTTCTGGGCGACAGTGCGCTTTCCTGAAGTGGAGGCAATCGAAGTCCCTAGACCGCTATCCGATGGCTCATTGGCGGACCTCCTCCGGCTGTTCGAGCGAAGAACACGCTTCTCCGTGTCGGCCATTGCGGGTCGACAATGGGAAGGTCAAGAAGACCAGGTGGGAGGGGTAGGCTGCGGTCACGCATGGTCCGCCGGCGAGATGATGGAGGAGCCATGGGTTCGGTATTGAAAGACTTGTCGACGTCGTTGACAATCATGGCGGCACGACGACGATGAGCATCGACCACATCGTCGAGTATGGTTTGGGAGCGACGGATCGAGGGTGGCACGAAGGAGCTTGAAGAGGAAGAAGCGGGACTGGTGGGAGAATGGAAAGTTGGACACTTCCGGAGGGTGTGGTATTTAGCGACAAGCCCTCTTCAGAAGAGGGGCGAGCCGACCTCGTAGTCCTGCGAGGGTTGGGAGCCATGGTAGGCGCGAAGTGTAAATGTGTTTGGGTGTTTTTGTCCGACAGGGTGACAGGGAACCGGACCAAGCCACTTATTTCCCTTGTCTGCGAGGAGATCGAATCTTTCCCGTTCTGAGGACCAAGACAAAGCGTCAGTAACCCTGCGGGAGGGGAAAGGCGTAATGAGTCTTCGTTGAGGCGCCCTTGGAGAGAGCAAAAGAGGGGAAGGAGGCGAGGTCAACCCGGGGAGGGAAGAAGGGGGATGTTGAGTCACTCCGGTCACCAACAGAGGACAACGATTTGTTCGCCGAAGTGACTTTGCACTTCGACGCGTGGGGAAGGAGCGGAGAGGAAACAGGACTAGGAATTGGGCATGTAGACGTGACAGAAGTCTCGACGATGGAAAGGAAAGCCCAGGAATGAAGGCACAACGTACTTGGACGGAGAAGAAAGAGCCCAACGGCAAGTTTGTCGCGGTTTGGTTGCTGTTTGACTGAGACCAGATCCAAAAGTCGAGGATGCTGGAAAGGAAGACTCGAAAGTGAAGAAAAAGATGAAGAAGGACCGAGGATTCCGGCCAAAGGCGAGGAGAGGGGAGGCAAGGGTAAAATACAACAGACCAGATCCAAATTAGGAATTGGGGGATGGATTGGATTGGGGGCCTGTACTTGAGAGCAGGATCTGGCGACAGATAGTACACAGATACCCACGCAAGGTCCAAAAGCCAATCCGGCGGTTGAACACGACACGAGACGATGAAGCAAGCGTGCGGGGACGAGGATGGGGTAAAAAAGGCAAACGACGAAAAAGAAAGGAACCGAAACCGAAACTTGAAAGCTGGCCTCAGGATCTTTGCTTTCACAATACAAAGCGATGATGGGAGAGCTACGCGGCTTGAGGGTCAGGAAAACGAGACGCCTGACAAGGACGAAAGATGGGTGCGTGGGAGTTGGGAGAAGGCGATGGAAGGAGGTCAAAGGACTTGGGTGCACAAGGTTTAGGAACGGGGGCAAGAGCGGGCGGTCTGAGGGAAAACACTGAGAGGCATTGATTAGAAATGGGGGCCGTCCTGCTCTGAGGGAAGGTCCTTGGGACGAGACGCTGCTGCCTAGAGCTCCGCCTCCACTGGCTCGCCAAGACGCGATCTCATTGGCCAGGGATTGCTAACCCACAGGGGAAGGATGGGTCCTGATTTACCGGGGTAGAAATAGGGAATCTCTTCAGCCCCGAGACTCCCACTGAGGTCATTCAAGTAGTCGCTGTTAGGGCTCCACGCTTTCAGTCTACTGTCCGCACTAACAGAAATCCCACGGACACGCAATTTATTCGAGGACTTTGAGGAATGTCTGTTCCGAGTTAGCGTTCACCGTAGTATTTCAACTTCTGAGGCTAACGAGCTGGGACTTGTCCTCAGCCCGTTTCTTGGGCTGCCAGCACGGCAAAGTTGAAATTGAGCACTTCCAATGCAGTGCCTTCCCGACCCTCTCGGGCAAGGTACGTCACTAATTTGTTAGGCATGGCCAATCTGAAGGGCTTTCGATGGGTATGTTCATCCCCGAGCAGCCTGCGTGTTGACATTCCGGGACATTACGAGTGAAGGGAAGGGGAAGAAGATGAGGAGGTGTTTTCCATCCACTAGATGGCGATCTGAACCCATCTTCCCAGTGGTCAGTGTCTCTTCCACCGATCGTCATGCACGCAGTGAGACCCATAAAGAGTTGAGTCCAGAATTTGCCGCCAAGAAAGACCCAAAAAAGTGTAGCCTGGGGCCTGTGGTCGGGAACACCACGGCAAGGCGTCCCCACCCAAGATTGAAACGAACCAAGCCTAAACCCGAAAAAGAAGAAAAAACGCCTGAGCTGTCAGCATTGGCGGCCGGGACGCTGCGAAACTGCTTTAGCGCACGCTATTTCCGTCCGGACGACGCAATCCGCGAATCCGCACCGCAAGGCAGCCGAATTCTCTCGACTCTTGCTGGACGAAGACGGGTTTCAGGGCAGTTTTCATCTTGCTGACTTTCTGTTTCTGGCCCTTTTCTCGCTTGGCTCTGGAGACGTACGCGTTGACGTCGTCAACTCCACCATCCTGACCTGCCCCCTTTTTTTCTCTCTTTCTCCTCCTCAACCTTCTTTTCATATCATTCCGTGCTTTTATTATGTCCTTTCCTTTTTCGGTTCTCCCTTGTGGACTTGAAAAAGAAATTCCTGTTGGACGTCGACAGCACGCGAGATTGTCCAACCGAGGTACCAATAATAAGAATACGGGCAAATACGATGGAAAACCAACCCGGTGCTGAGTTTTGAGGATGTGTCATGAGGTACTTGTACCGACGGAGAGACTACCATCAGTCGGAGTTGTTGTTCAAACCCCGAATTAAATTCAATCGATCGCTGGCTCGGGCGCAATTCCGACGAGTCTCACCTCACAGCCGGCGCGCAGTTGGCTCGAACTCTCGAACCAACAGCTCTGTGACACCACCTGCCGGCCGACGCGGAACAAACGAAAAAGAAAACAAGGCCGGCGGGTTACGGGTTATTCCGTCGTTCCAATCCCTCATTTTTTCTTCCCTCCCTCCCCCAAAGGCCTTGATACCAGTTGCTGCTGTCCACGTCTGGCCTCGATCGCATTCCTAATTTAGGCGCCTGATCATGAGACCTTCGGGCGAATCCTCCCGTGTTACCCCACGCCATCGGTCACCAGTATGTTTTCAATATTTCTGGCTTTCTCGGTCTCCTTTCGACTCTGTGTCAACAAAGGTTTCTTTTTCCTTTTTTCCCGCTCCTCTATGCTTGTCTTGTGTCTGATTTTATCGCCGTTCGGTTCCCGCTTGGACTGATGGTAATCTCCATGAGCGGGCTGGTTGGAGTGATGCTTTTGAAACCCTGTCGAATGGGGCTTTTCCTTCCCGTTGTCGTTGGCCTCTCAAAATCCTTGCATGTTGCATTCAGCGCCAAACCCGATTGGGCTCGCCGGCTTCTCACTGCCCTCGCCGAGTGGCCATCGCATCAATAATAGATCTTGGACAGCACGGCTCTGATTGATTTGACGGTGTGTGTAATTTGATTGCTTGCACTGTCTAATTCTCAAACCCCACGACACCCTTGGGGCCACCGGTCGACCTGGGAGACGAGCTTCTCCGTCATGAACAGTTGGCGGAGATGCAGTCATTTCTGCATCTGACGCATACAAGGACATGAGAAGAGAGAGAAGAGAGAGAAGAATAGAGTGGGAGAGGAGAATGTGTGAAAAAGGTTTGAAGCCCCTCGTCCAACCATTCTGAAAGCCATCGTCCTCTTCCTCGGGGAGAGACCCTCGCAACCAATCTCGCCGTGGGTACAATATGCAGGCCATAGGGCTGGAAAGCGGGTGGGGGGGCGTTGACTCATGCATTCCGTGGATGGGCCAGGCTTGGAGCAAAGGCAAACGATCTCCACGCTGGACAGGACGGTGTGATTGCAATTGATACTCGAACCTCAAAAATCCCATCGCCCTGAAGTCAGTCTCTCCCTCTTTTCGTTTGTCATGCAGCCATGTCGCCCATTCTCTTCGATCTTACTTCTTGATTGGAGTAGAAAACTGGAGTCACCGGAAGGCACAAAGTATTAACGCGCATCTTTGTTGGCATAGTCAGGGAGAGGAGGCGGAGTTTTGAGGAGAAGAATGCAATGGATGGATGACTACTTTCACTCTTTTTTTTTTTTTCCATAATTCCTTTTCTTTCTCTTTTTTACAACCGCGACGAGCATGGTGCTGCAAACCGATGAAACAAAGGCGTCTTTTTTTTTCTCCCTTCTTTTTGTCTTCTTCAAGAGGTATCCAATGAATTCAAGGCAGTATTTGTCTGGCCGGTCTGGCGGCGAACAGGGATCAAGCGCCCGTGCTCCCACCACAACGAACAGCACGCTCCGCAGCTCAGCGTAATATTCCTCTTCCCCGCCCAAAAAAATGATTGATTTTGTCCACTTTGCGAAATCAAACGCATAGCCGGGAGCTCATCATTTCCATCGGAGATGAAGACTTCATGATCTCCCTCCCCTAAAGAAGGCGCATGGCCTTAGCAGATCAATAGTTCAGTATCCATTCTGCCGGGGATTTTCAAGACATCCCACGTCTCAGGGTCCTGGGAGGCCGCCATCTCGGCAGGAGATGGGAGCACCAAGGTCGGTCGTGGAGTGTAGGAAAAGGGTACACGACAGAGTAAGCAGACAAGCGAGACGGGGAAGGGGGCGCAACACGACGGAAATGAGGTCGTGTGAGTAACACAAACCGATCCACGGGTACGCCAAGTGATGCGAATGTAACACGAACGAGGCCATCAACATCATTAACAGCCATCGACAGCCATCGACAGCCATCATCATTCGGCAACACAGCGCCAGGGCCGCATCGATGGCTGAGTTGGCAACACACCTCCTCTTCCTTGTCCAGGAGGTTGCGCGAGAGCCAAAGGGCGCGCGCTGAGGCGCCAGGAGCTTTTACCTTTTTGTCCAACCGAAAGAGAGGAGCGCGGACCCAATCATGGGGAACTCGTGTCATCCACATCAATCAATCCCACCTCCTCGTCTTTGATCCTTCCCGACAAGCAATCTACGGTTCCTCATCCTTTGAAGCAGGTAAAAAGAGAAGAAAAAACGAGAGAAAAAAGCAAATCCAGAGCCAGGAGGCCAGGAAGTGACAGAGAGGCCCCAAGTTCAATTTGTTTTGTTTTCTCCGCATGGCCAACGCCCTGCTGTTCTCATGCGCATGGCCAAACGAAGAGTCGAGCTGTGTGCCGTCGCGCCAGAATTATAATACGAAGACATCAAGAGCGCCCTGTGCTGCCAAGAAAACTCGTTCCCGCCCTACGAGGCGAGACTCTCGTTTGAAGGACTCCGGCTCCCTTTTTGTTGGTTCAATGTTCCCCTTTGTCTTGTTCAGGACGCGGCAAATGACAAGCACATTAAACCCCTGTCACCGCCGACCCACTTGACGAGGATAGACCAGTCATTGTCACGTCTCCGCCGCCGCGGTCGAAGATGGCGGGCAGTTTTGCTTCCTCGAGCTCCCTCACTCCCTCCCTTCCCTTCCCTTCCGCTTTTTCCCCTTGCTGCAGGTGAGATGAGGATAAGAGCGGCCATCGAGGAGGCCAAGGTGGCCAAGGAGAGGGGCCAAGTGGCTGAGGAGGTAAACCCCCAGTCGACGAAAAGTGGAGGTCGGTTCATATTAGGAATGAAGAAAGCCCGGGATCACCAAGGCCTTTTCTCGAGTAGGCGCTGCTTGGGGTTTCCTTTTTTCTTTTTCTTCCTCCCTTTTGCGTCCTGCAGGACTCAAAAGTCGGTTCAGGCGGCAGGATTTCAACTTTTGCCCCTTCCTTGTCCCCACTCCGGTCCTCAAGTGCTCTTTGTTGGTTTTTTGCCCGCTTTTGCCCTGCGGGTCCCACCAGCGCAGGGTCCGTATGTGGGAATCACTCTTGTCAGTGTCAGACAGCGCGGGCAATCAGGGCAAACTATTGATCCGCCTGCGTGCTCATCGAGATTCGATTCGGGGCTCCTGCAGGCCGGGGGACGTGGCGCGGCGTCACACACCTGCCCCAGCCCTCTCTGCCCTCTTCCCTTCCCCCCTTTACCCCTCGATCAACGCAATTTTATAATGCAGCCTAGGGCATCCCCTGAAAATATCTAGGAGCAGCCATCATCGATATGTCATTGACAAGCGTGAAAACGCCCTTTTGGCTCCGCTTCCCTCCTCCAGTGACCCGTAACAAGAGCTTCCTGACACGAGGCTTCCACATTCACGAGTTCCTGATTGGCAGCAGCAGGAACGGGACTAGACAGGCAAAGGCGGCTCCAGCAAACCGAACATATCACCCCGCCTCCGCACCCCCTTTTTCCCAGTCTCTCTCTGTCTCACCGCCCGTTCCCCGTGCTGGCGGAGCTCCCCGAAGCGCGGGCGCAGTGGGAAAGGGTCCCCCTCCATGGAAATCTCCATAAACCCATTGTGGCCACCGTTGCGGGCTCTTGTTGATGGAGTGAGGCGCCGGCCCGCGGCCGAGCCAATCAATCCCCAGGCACCACTATTGTTATCACACACTCGCAAGCACATGAATCTTCCTCTTTTCACTAACACGGCAGATTTTGGAACCTCAAGTTGGCTTTCTTGTTGTCTTGTTTTGTCTGTTTCGCCATTCCCCTTCCAAAGTGCCCATCTCCTTGTTCTCCCAAGATTGATCCTAGTCCCGTTCCTAGGGTCTCCCATGGATCTGCTCATGCAAACATGAACCCCCAAAAAACAATATTGAAGTGCCCCCTCCAAACAAAACCTAATCCTGATGCCTATCTCTGTCACCCTCCACAGGCTAAATCGCCAGTTCCAGCGATCCTTCTTCTCCCCGCCCGTCACACAACACCCCTTGAACCTTGATCGCCTCAGTCCGCCTTGCAGCCCTTTTTTTCTTTTCTCCTACGAACCATTCCTGTTTCTCGCGGGTAAACGAAAAAGGAAAAAATCCCCGCGGCCACCACAGGCCAACCAATCTTGTTTCGTGCATGTGAACCACCCCCACTCCTCCCTTACCTGCCTTGACAACCCACACCCTCCCCTCCCCGGGGGCCACCCTTTTTCCTCATTAGCGTGACCCGGAGAACAGGCCTCGGAGAATCACATGGGGACTAATATCGGTTAGAATGGCCAAAGGGCCCCCGAACCACCGGTCCCCCATCCACTCATCGCTAAAGGTACCGGCCACCATTGGAAGATGGGCCGGAGCCGGATGCGGGTGACTTGGTTCGAGTGTGCCCCGGTTCCCATCAACGCCACCTCTACAACGCTTGTTGCGCGGGAGAGGGCATGAAAGCTTCCTCGCGAACAAGCCGCTGCTCATCCGCATGCCTTGAACATGGCTTTAGTCGTCAACGGCGTTCTTCCCGACTATTTTTTTCTACCACCGTGAACAAGTCGTTCTATGTCCCGAGGTGTCTCTCTTTCCAAAAGAAAATATTGAGATAAAGATGATATAACATGAAGCCAATTTTCACTAGAGTCACGATGAGAGCGGTGGAAGAATCGTCTTCTAGCTAATTGATTGTATTAGCACGTCGTTTCGTGCTTGATGTTGTAGTTGGTAGTTGGTGGTGTTATACACTATGCTATACAGTTCATAAATGGCTGTCATGGGTATCATATCCTTCAATGTTCGCTTTCCTCCCGTAATAAATCCAATTCCCAAAAATAAAGAATCCAAAAATCTCCAAGTCCAGCTTTTTCTCCCCTCAAGTGCCTCGCAAAGTCTGGTATCTCATGCAACGCGTATGACTTTGCGCTCTCAAGGCCCCTGGGCAAAAAAAAAAGTGTCGTAGAGATTCGTTTGATGCGTCCTCTCCGTTCGTCAACGTATTAACGACGCAACACGATCCATGTCCCGGGTCGGGGACATCACACCGTCGGCCCTTTTCGCTCATATCCTGATGACAGCGGGGCGGATGGTGGCGTTGATCACGGCAGCCTCGGAATCCCACTGCCTCTGGGCGCCAAAGTCGATGGTGGACTTGCGGGCGGCGGATCCTCCGAAGAGGGCGGCCCGGTAAGTGCGTAGCTCGCTCGCGAACTGGCGGCGGCTGATGGCGCAGTAGACGAGATCCCAAACACTATGAAGAAGGCACTTGTTAGCATCACTGTTCATGCTTTGTCTTTTTTGTTTTTATTGTTGGACTGTAGAGAGGAGAGCTTACCCAAGGATCCAGAGGAGGATGTACACCATGGGGGTGGCGTATTGCACGGTGAGCCCCCAGTAGCTGTACTCCTCGGGGAATGCGCGGCCAAGAGCAATGTAGGCCATAAAGGTAGATGTGTAGCCAACACCAAAGGTGAGGCGGAGAAGCAGGGTCCAGCCCTTCCACATCTTGTCGTAGCGGCCAATGGACTGGAAGTCTAGGAGGATATCCAGACCGAGGAGAACGATGAGGAAAACGGCGGGAGCACTGAGAGCGAGGAAATCCCCATGTTAGCTTTGCCCTGGGGTTGTTTGCTTGGGGAGCAAGAGAGGAATGGAAACTTACCCGAAAGGCCCGCTGACGGCGCCATCGTGGTACTTGAGGAAGAAGGCCATGATGAGGAGGAGAATCATGGAGGTGAGGATGTGGATAAAGTCGGAGAGTACCCTCATAAAGGTCATGAAGCAGCTCGTGTTCCAGTCATCGCTCCCGTCTTCGAAGACGGATATCGTAGTCGGGGACTGGCCCTTGATGGAGATTGTGATGCGGGAAACGCTGGACTGGCGCGAGTTGCGCTGCGACCCGGGAGGGTGAGGTTGAGAGGCGGCGGCCTGTGGCTACGCTCCATTTTGTGTGTTGTTGGGGTGGGGAGAGGGTTTGTTTTGAAGAGGTGGAGGGTGAGGGTGAGTCCTTGCCGGATGCTTGACTCTGGATCTTGGGATGAGAGAGTCGAGTTCGGATAACAAGAGATGATTTGGAAAAAAAGGCGAGGTGGATGGTGGGGAAGAGGGTCAAGATATTATCCTCGTCAGGGACAAGGGCAGGGAAGAAGGGATGGGAAAGAGACAAGGACAACGGTGCCCTGTTGCGTTTCTCTTTTGGTTTTTCTTCTGATGCGAAAGGAATCTTTTTTTCGTCCTTTTAAACTCTGAGACAAACTGGTCGAGCTCTGACCTTGCGAGAGAAGCTGGGGTGGGTTCGGATGGGTTGATATACTCGATGAAGATATCTATGAGGCGAGAGCAAGGGGAGGCAGGAAGTCTGTGTCATGGGCCCCGGTCGCTTCAAGTATGCGCAGCGGAGGAGGAGGTTGACGAGGAGCGAGAGGGAGAGGGGGGAGAAAAACAAGGTTTCCTGTTCCAGGTACATGTGGCATTAGGGGCAAGGGTAGCAATAGAGAATAACGGGTTCAACCAGGGCCCTTCAACTCGGTTTGTCGCGAAACCATCCCTCGCAGATCGATTTCCAGGGCTGAGGCGGGAGGAGTCTTTCTTGGCCAAGGGGGAGAGAGGCCGTGAGGAGGAGCCTCGGCCCCATAGTGTATGTGGGGGTATATGAGAGCAAGCCAGAGGAATAAGGAACAAAAAAAAAAAGAGACAGAGAACGCCTGCGAATAATAGAGTGACATACAACTACACGCAGAGAGGAAGACTGTCCCCGTTTCCGCGGACCAGACTAATACTTCGTACATAGGGGGATGTGCGACTTGCACGATCTCCGACCTGACCATTCAAGTCCGAATCCGGGTCCAACCTGAAGCTTGAAACTTTGACAGCCAGGAGAATGGACCCCCCTTTCCTCTCCCTCCTCTCAGCTGGGCAAAGGGCCAAAAAGACAAAAGAAAAAAACCAAAGCCCCTGGCTTGAGGGATCCTCACAAAGTCTCAATGCTAGCCTATCAGTGAGAAAATGGTACCACGAGGCGTAAGCCACGGAGTCCCTCAAGGTGGCCTGAGCCCCTCCTCCTCCGACATCAGCTTTTTCAAAATAGAAATCCTGCACTTTGGTCGGTAGAGAGCGCCCACGACTCTGAGAAAGCTTCGACCACCGGAGTGCTAAGAAACCGTGCGGAAGCTCGGAAGGCGGAACCCCGGAACCCTGCCCAGCCGGGGGAGAACCTTTCTCTCTCTCTCTCTCTCTCTCTCTCTCTCTGACTCTTCCTCCCTCTCGTTCGTCCCAAGTAAAGAACGTCTGAAGGCGAGAGACGCTCGCACAAGAAAGAGAAGAAGAAGAAAAAAAAGGACGAGGGAATGGGCGTACGAACACGCAGGGAAACAAGCAAACGAAACAAAGAGAATTACCTATTACCAGCCGCGTTAGGGTTCGTTGAACAAGTAAATCACCCATCACATCGTCCTTCGCCTCTGTAAAACCGGTCCTGCCGCCCTCTAATCAGCTATTTAGCCATCGATCATTGTTTGCCCTTTCTACTTTTTTCGTAGGGGACCTCGGCCGCTGTAGATTTTCCCTCTTCTCCCTCTCGTTAAGCGACACGATCTTGGGCGAGGAAACAATGAAGCGCAGATGTGCCCGCTGATGCGAGCAGAGGAATATCGCCCATTCGATGGGATAAAAGGATAAATGAAAATGATGGGCAGTACTGGGCTGTCTACTTTTTTCCTCGTTTCCCTCTCTCTTCCTCTCACTCAGCGAAAGGGGAGGAGACGAGAAAAGACTGGTTGCTTGACTCTCGGTTTCAACCATGGGGCTCGTGCTCCGTGATCTGCTGCGTCAACAAGGGTCTGCGACACCACCGCTTGCTTCATCCACCCACCACCAGCAGACGGTCAGAGCCAGCAACAAGCAATAGCGCGCAGAGCCTGCTCCAGCCCTCCAACGCCTTCCAACGCCCATCGAATCAGCAGCGCACCCAGGATCCAATTGATCTGTCAAGCTTTGACCAAGGAGGCGCTGGACATGTCGCAGATGTGTTGGTAACGAAATCCGCTCCCCCTGCTTGCCACTCGGCTGCCCGAAATCCTGGGTTTGCTTGGCTCTCCCGACAAATGGATCTTTTTTCTTCTTCGTTTGCCGCGCGCTCCCGCCCAATGGCTACATGTACATCTAGCTGCTCCTCTCAAGACTTGGTCAATAATAGCATCATCGTGCTATCGACGAGGACACAGCGCCATGATCATCGCATTGATCACGCACCCAAAGTCTTCAATCTTTTTTCACCAGTCTCCTATTCGCCAGTCTACCTCAAAAGCCCAAGAGTTGATCTGCCCCCTTCCGACGCGTCAACCACCCTCGTCCCACTCAAAGCCGTCGCCGACCCCCTTCGCTTCATGATAGCGGCGTTTGGTGGCCCTCTGACCAACGAGCTGGTAACTCGGTTTCAAGCGAGGAAACAAAAAAGGTTACCGCTCCTCTTCCTCGCCCGCCAAGCCCTCGCTTGTGAGCGAAGCCTCTGTTGCCCTTCCCAGGTTTTTTTTTTTCTTTCGAGGGTTTTTCTCTTTTCGGGTTTAATCTCCCTCATTCCCTTCTCTTGTTCCGTGGGTCCGCTGCTGCTCAAACAGGAGCATCACCCTCTCATCACTCACTCACCCACTCTGTCCCTTCTCGCCCGCCCAGCACTGCCCTGCGCAGCCTTGTACTGTCCTGTAAATCCCATTGCTCGCTCGCTCGCCCTCACCCTCACCCTCTTCATCTACAAGTGATTCGCACACTGATCACGCACTGCATCATACGCGTGATTCCCGATTTTCCACGACTGCGCAGGATGAGCGGATTGATAGCCCACCTCATCGTGATAAACCTGCTCCGCCCACCGCTCTCTCTTACACCATCAGAAACGCATCTTCTCCTTCCCGCTCGGTCGTGTAGCTCGAAACATTGATCGTGATGTGCGCTTGAGATTGTTACTGTGCTCTTTGATTCTCGTAAGATCCTCTCTTTCTCGCTCATTCGCTTTCTGTCGTGTACAAGTATGATTCAGACCCTTTTTGGGATACAAGGGCGAGGGGCAACATTCATGGCGCGGGGTGTATTAGTGTACGACGTAATAGTCGTAGTAGCAATGGCACCAGATAGGATTGGGAAAAGGCTGAAACACTGTCACAAAGGTGTCAAAGTGGGACCATGCTCGTGTAGCAACTTGAACGAAGACATCACATCAACTTGATACAGTAGTTCCGTCGCACAACACGAGGTCGTCTTTCTTCCTTTCGGGCCACGGCCCCGGCCCTGGCTCAGACTTGCCTTTACGACGTCACAGTCGACCGTTTGCCCGACACGCCCGTCCTTCCTTTCTCTTTCCCAAGTGGGACATGAAAAAAAGAAGAAGCCTTCCTAGCCTCAGCCCTAAGGAGCCAACCCACTCTCCACTGCAACCCTCACCTTCAACCCCTTCGAACAAAGAATGCCATTGTCGAGCGAAGAAGGGGGTTATCCACTTGAAAAAGTGTGGAAAACGCGCAACTTGTCTTCGCCCTGCGACGCGCAGTGTCGTTTGTCCAAAAGGGGTTGCTGCCGGAGAGGCGGAAAGTGACGAAGAGCCCCCAACGCTTCAGAGATCCAGGAGCAGCTTAGGGCGGGGCTGATCGACTCAGAAGTATCTGTTTGTGTCATCATCGCCAGAGCGTCTCGAGATTTTCCTGTCCTCCAACCAGGTATTGATTTTTCTTCTCCTCTCCCCTGTTTTCCCCTTGTTCCTCCGTCCCCTCCCGAGCGGCACGTAGCTCACGGCACACTTGGCTATAGAGTGAGCTTTTAACGTGAGGGGAGGGCTCTTGTGTTTTATTCCCCCTTGCTTCCCTTGCAAATGATGCGTTGCAAAATCATATGGAAATTGAGGGAGCACATATACGCTCTTTCCGTACCGTGGGTTCTCAACCACCTCACCCTCTCTCCCACATCCTATGGTCCGGTAATGATATGCGTACCTTTGATCTTTCCACTCTCCATCTTGGCGGTTCTGGACCCAAATTGAATCTAAAAGGGGGCAAATAACAAAAGAGTTGTTATACGAACGTTAGATATTGGACCAGGAAAATGTCTGTCGCAGTTTTGTCTGCGGCAGAAGAAAGCAGTCGGTCAAAGAGGTAAGGGTGGGGAACAAAGGCCAAGGGGTTTGGGGATACACGAACCGCTCTCTTCTTCTCTCCCGCCACGTTCCTCATGCCTAGTTGGGCGGCGAGGAGGCGCAAGACCCTCTTCTCCGGATCAAGCTCGATGCCCTCCCCGGCTGTTGTCGCTGCCGTGGTGGCAAAGTCGCACTTTTCCCAAGCGGGAGCTTCGATAGCCCACTTCACAAGCCCTTCATCGAGGTAGGGAAGCGGACCTCTCGGCCCCAGTGCGCCATGACTCTATCGTCCCTCCCCAAGTTCCGCTTACCGAGCCTGCCGACGTCCAGCTTGAGCTCCTCGAGTAGGCCTTCGTAGCCCCTACGCCCAAAGGCGGTGGCATGCCGCACGTATCCGCCAAAAGTTCGTCGGCGCCCAACCCCGAGAGCAGCACCCTAGCCGGCGTCGAAACATGTTGGCAGCCGCTGGGCGTTTCAGGGTCGATCTGACCAATCCCAGCGCCCCTCGCCGCAAAATATAAAGCATATGCGATCGACAGATCCATTTCAGTGTTGTGAGGATGCATGAGCGACACGATCTCGCTCCGGTGACCTTGGGTCTCCGAGTACGGTACATTAACCTAACCACGTATATATGATAAGTCTCCCTCCGCCGATCGTTAAAGGGGAGGGAGGGGGAAAGGGAGGGGAGGGAAGGGACTATGCCCCTGATAATTATCATCAACCAGGAAAACAGCACACGGGACCAGCAACGGAAGTGCCTGGTTAAGGGGGAAAAACGAAAGAGTGAGAGAGAGAGAAAAGAAAAATGGTATGGCGCAGGTACTCCCGTAGGCAAGCATATGCAAGCGACCAAGGGGGAGGCTGGATGGGATAGAGAAGGGATGAGGGGGACGAATTTCATTCACTGACTGCAATAAATCGCCACCGCCTCCCCGGGCAGCAGGTGAGTAGTTCCTTGAAAGATCTTCTCCCTGTAATGCGGTCAGGGCATGCTTCGTAAATGGCCAAAGGGTCGCTCGAAGGGTCGAGTCTCGCGGCTAGGCGAGGGTTCTCAAAGGCCACATTGAGGAGGTCAACGCCTTGCTCTAGAGGCAGCAGCTCGCTCGCCAAGCGGGCGAGGACGGTGCAATCTAGCCCACCCGAGAAGAGGACGGCAATTCTAGTATCAACCTCGTCTTCTGATACCGAGCCAACCTTGGGAGGCTGGGGGACGTTCAAGACGCGGAGCGAAAGAGATCGCATCAAGTGCTCTCGTAGGGCCTGCACCGGTCCAGATTCCATTTTGAGATGCGGAGCCGTCTCGGGCGGTAATGCCATGTTGAAAATCCCTATATTGGACATCTTGTGATTGTTGGTGCATGTTGTGCGTAGCAGCAGCGAGTTGGGCGAGTTGCGGTACTAATCAACCAGATTGCCGCGGTTGCAATGCGTCGGCGATTTGGGAGGGGGAGGAAAAAAGAGACTCACATATTCCCCGAGGTCATCCTCAGGAAGCCAACCATACCGCTTGGCCGACAGAATGGTAATGGGTCCGGCATGCGCATCACCCAAACTCGCCACGTCCAGGGCATAAATGCCGTCCGCCTCGACCTCTGCCCAACCAGAGCCGAGCGGGTCGGCGATGCTCGACAGAATCAGCCCCCTTCATGCGTCGCCGCCAGCAGCGACCTGCGGCCCAGGCGATCGCGCCCGAAATACAGGCGTCCCCTCCACGGCTGTCCCGGGGAGGATCATAGTAGATGAAAGCAAAGGGCCCATCGATGCTCCGCAAGACGTCCAGGACGGCGTCTTGGCCCGAGGCCTGATCCAGGGTCGAGATGATGGCCGCGGTATCGTTCCCGGCAATCGCGTCGCCTCCCAGGCTCCAGGCCTCGCCGTTCCAGCATAGTATAGCCCCCGAAACCTCGCTCACCACGGGTTGTTGGGTTATGCCGTTGCCCCGCAAGGATAGCACGGTCGCGACGAACGTTAGAGAGAGCCCCGGGCTCTCCTCACCAGGTTCGCTGTTGCTGCTGCTACTATCGCTACTAGGGACGTAGGCTTGCGTGCTCCCGATGTGATCCGGCCCTCTTTGGACGAGCTGGGACTCGAGAGCGCTGGATGGTGGGAGCCTGCCATGTCTGCTCACGGACGCGTAGATACCACACATTGTAGAACGCGTGCTATAAGACCAAGTTTCGGAATTTTCCTCTACACACGACCAGGTAAAGGCAGGCCTCGCCTGAACCTGAGGCGCTTGGAGTAAGGGGTCGATATGCGAGGTGAATTCCGGGTTGGTGTGATAGCGCGTTGCTTGCCAGGTCAAGTGGATGCCCAGCCCAAAGGTTTCCATGCAGCAGGATTAATAGGCGAAAAAATATTGATGACTGTACCACCACATTCTCTGCCTCAACCAAGATTAGTCCTCCGCGCCTGCCAATCCGTACTTGGCCGTTGTCGACCCCGTCAAATTGAATCATTTGATGTTTGTGATGAATCTCCCCAAGCGGACGGTCCTTGAATTATTCTATGAGCAGAGGATGCGAAACAGATCCTTTTCCGCAAGTTAAATTATGGATCAAGAACAATTTTACAATTCCCGGATTTTATCGATGCATCAACCCTCGCATGAATAGCGTTGCAGAGATCGTCCTCCTCGCCATATTCGTAGGGCAGAGGAGAGAGAAAAGGGGCCACGGGGAAGAATAGATATATTTTAGAAGTCCAACTGGATAGATTTGGTGTAGAGATGTCCTACAAGTATGTTTGAATTCGTGCACCCTTTCCTCGACGATCTCGCCCAATACTCCCTGGCATAGGCTGTCGAACAGCTCAGGAGCGTAAATTTGCCTGAGCCTTCTCAGATTGTCCCCATGTTGCTCCCAATATTCCTCATCTCTAAAGGTCAGTCACTACCTTTCCAATCTAACAAGACGCGGTTTAGTGTCACAAGCCTTGATATTCGATGTTTCGTTGAAACTACATGTATGTATGCCAATTACTATGAAGCACAGGGTGGGCCTAGTATGTAGCCAGTTCCCTTCCTTTATTCCTTGAGCTCAAAATCGTCAGACGCTCATGGCTGCTAGATCAAACAAAATCAGTATCATCATCAGCCTCTAGATTTGTTTATTCAACTCCCGGTATGTACCATCGGCGAGCGGCGCCGTGATCTTCGGGGTCGCGGTGGAACGCGGTGGATGTAAGTCAGAGCCCACCCACCAAAGAGCCACCTCCATCCTATGTTAGACGCCATGGCTTCTAGTAGCTACAATCGATCAAACAGCTCTATGAAGCACCAAAGCATAGCCACATCGGGGTTTCCGCGTTTACTTTAAGATCCAGTCCGGTATATCATTCTCTCAATATTTGACGTAGAGGAATGATCTCCTAGTTGGTATGCAAGCAAGTTGATGCGAAAGCACGGCTCACATTCTTACCGCCGTCTCCCCTCCCCCATCACCACAGGCAAACGCCAGCATTTCTAACCATGCAAACTAGGATCAAAAGCATAACAGTATATGAGATGACGTAGCACGATGGGCAATATTGCATAGAGCGGCATTGCTTCGACCGCGCATGGGCCCTTGATCTGGTGTCAACAGCGCTGGATGTTTCCACCACACTTGATAATTGATGAAACGGCTTCCGGGCCCACCCACCAGGAATCGCCGGACAATGCGGCTCAAGATCGTAGCAAAGTGTGGCGATGCAGCAACCAGCTGCCGTCTGATGTTTACTGAAACGAAAGTGTTTTCTGTTGCATCTTGAGGCGAACGAGGCTAGAGACGGTCATTCGGAGCCGCCGGAATAATCGATGATTGATATCGGCCTTTCTTCTGAAGTACGGCGCCTCTAGGGTTGCGCGATGGTTAGCAGCAATGTTTCAATCTTCACGGAGGTTAGTTGACCGAGGAGTAAAGGTGTGGTGTTATATATCCACATGTAGTTGTGGGCGTCGATCCCCTGGTGTTAGTGGCGGTTGGCGGGATCATGGAGTGTTGAGCCAACAAGAGCAAGATAAGGTGCTCTCTCTGCTAGTGGTGATGCCTTCAAGGTTCAATTCAACAAATTGCAATTCTAGAGCTCTCCTCGACAAGTCTACCATAACCTCCCGCTGTCCCTGACTGCTTAAGCAGCGCTGTCTGTATGGCGATATCCATCAATAGTGGCCTTCTGTTGGGTTGCGCGCATATCAACTCTGTATCACGGCTTTAGGGCCTCTCGATCAATTACGTGCGGCTTCCGTCATTTGTCTCGGGAATTAGTCTTAATACTGGAGCTTGTTTAGGTGAGGATAATGTGATTTTAGTAATGACTGCATGAATCGATCCTGGTGTTACTCTGGAAGTTTAGGACATAACTAATTCATAATTGAAGTGCATCCAATAGTAGGTCTAGCTCCCAAATCAGATAGGATTCATTCCAATTGATCAATGAGATCACTTTATAGACTCACGAAGTCAAGCCTTTTGGAGGAAAGGTGATGGACCTGCACAAGTGTGCACTGAGTGGTTGAGTGGGTAATAGATGCTGGAAGGTTCCTTCCGGAGAATAAGGAATGCGGCTTTGTCAGCATCGAACATGGATTGAAATCAATTCGTGTGATGATTGGCTCAAGTTGAGCCGCTGAAACATTTTAGGCAGGCAAGCCTCTTTCGGTGTTCCTTCAGACGACAACTCTCACTTCCCCATTCACAAACATCCTGAGCGACCGGCTTGGCTGCATCCCAGTCCCTGTATCTGTCGACCACGCTCGCTTCGTCCATCCCGGCGCATATTTATCATCCTCGCGGCCGTTTACAATAGAACGAAACCGTCTAGCTGCGATTCGATCCTTGTCCGCGCCAGGCGACGTCGTCTCCCCCGGTCGGCCTCTGCCACCAACCTCCCCGCCTCCCCTTCCCATCGCCAGGATGGACTCCACGGCCGCGGCCGAGTACAACGATGATCTGAGCAACATCCTTGTTTGCCCTGACTGCAGGGAGTATCCACCCAATCTCAAGGAGGAGTACTCGGCTGGCGATATTGTCTGCGACTCGTGCGGGCTGGTCCTCGGTGACCGCATCATCGACACCCGCTCCGAGTGGCGAAGCTTTGCCAATGATGATCAGAACAGCGACGACCCTTCTCGTGTCGGTGATTCGGCAAACCCGCTGCTGAATGGATCTCAGCTCGAAACCAGCATCGCCAGCGCAGACAGTCGCCAGAGCCGAACTCTTGCGCGCCTCCAGAACAACACCACGCAACAGGATAAGACGACGAAGACGCTGCTGCAAGCCTACAAGGAGATTGGCACGTACTGCGACTCCATCAACATCCCGAAGCACATCTCGGAGGCCGCCAAGCACATCTTCAAGCTGGTGGAGGAGAAGAAGGCGCTCAAAGGCAAGCCTCAGGAGGCCATCATTGCGGGCTGCATCTTCATCGCCTGCCGACAGGCTGGCGTGGGTCGTACCTTTCGCGAGATTCACAACCTCACGAGGGTGGGAAAGAAGGATATTGGGAAGGTGTTTAAGCTTCTGGAGTCTTTCCTCCAAAAGCAGAAGCAGGAGGACGTCAATATTGGTGTCGCCAGTGCTGGTGGTTACGAGAACACGGGGTCGACGAGCGCCGAGTCGCTCTGCGCCCGTTACTGCTCTCAGCTCATCTTCAAGAACACCCAGCGGATCGAAAATATCTCACGGGAGCTCGCCAAGAAGACGAGCGGCGTCGCCGACTTGGCCGGAAGGTCTCCATTGTCGGTCGCCGCTGCCTGCATTTACATGGCCTCTCACCTTATGGGCGATCCCAAGAGCTCGCGCGAGATCGCCGCCATCGCCGGCGTCAGCGATGGCACCATCAGGACTGCCTACCGCTTCCTGTACCAGGTCAAGGATGAATTGGTCGAGCCTGAGTGGATCGGCGATGGCAAAGGCAACATGAACAAGCTTCCACAGAACTAGCGGTAGTTGGTTTGCCATTGAAAGCTTGCTCGGCCGAGAGTGTCTTGGAAATCTCCGTTCAACCAAGCTCTGCCTGTTGGGGACGCGCACGAGGGCTGCGCAGGCTGGCATCTGCGGTGCCTTTTGGTATGGAGTCTACTGCAGCGCCGCACACTCCTTTTGCATCATACTTAAGGGCGTCTTTGGAATTCTTGGTATAAGCGTCTAAGATGAAGGAAACGAGGGTCGATAACCGAGGGACCACAAAGAGCTGGGTCAGAAAGTTATAACGCGGCGGCAAATGAATCGGAGAGTTGAAAACTTAATCCGGAGAAGCGGCGGGTTCCAGGATAGGACCTGCGGATTCAGCGACGGAGGAGAAAGATGGGAAAGAAGGGCCAAGAAGAAGTGGCGGAGAAAGGAAAAGAGGAAGAAAAAGATACCCGGTATCTAATACCATCAAAAAGACATAAACAAAGAGGCCAGTCAGTCCATGACAGCTCGAGCGTAATGACCAAGAGCGGCAGATAAGCAAAAGAAAAAAAAAGAAAAAAAGAACAACCAAGCGATCTCGACGCATATCGATCTTAACCTAATAGTCTTTTTCCTCTGAAATGTTCTTCTCAGCTTCCCCGACCCTATATTGCTGCGGCCGGACTTTTGTACTCTCTTCGTGCAGTTTGCGTGTTCCTTTCGAGCGGGTTACCTTATCTCTTGTTCATCGTGCTTGCCCGATACGCCCCCTCGAAGAGTCGTCTTGCCCACTGTGGCTACGATATCTGTTCCTTCGTGGAGGCATGTCGTTTTCGAGTTATCATTGCTTTTCCTCTCTTTCGGGTCGTCCTAGGCTTTCCAGTCCTTCCGTTGCGGATGAAGGATTGCGTTGGCTTTGATGGCCCGTTCAAATTGTCCTTTACTTTCCTTAGCCGCGTGTAGCACGAGTTGGACAGCTCTAGAATACCGAGACAGTGGAAGGGAAATGATCTTTTCATCGTTTGTCACCGTCTGCGGCTTTGTTATGTCAGGGGGCGTTCGTTGGGTTTACCGTCTGATATTAGATACTCTAGGTTGTTTTATGCTTTTACTCTTGAATTACTTCACAATTCCTATCTAGAGCTGGAGCATGGGCATACCATGACCTTTGCGTAGCTATATCTCCTCACTTTGATATCTGATCGTGACATAGTTTGAGGGAATCCCAAGTGTGATCATGACAGCCTAGCCATGGAGCCCAATCTTTTCTCCCTTCCCAAGCGACGTGCTAAGCTTTCCCGTCCCTTGCGTACATCTGCAGAAAGTTCTTAGTTAATTGTAAATAGACGAGTCGTAGGACTATGTCTGGAGTATTCGCGCCAGAAGAGACGCATGCATCTAGGTTGTTCGAGAGAGAATTGGCGGAATGATAGCCAAGGGGTCTCTACTTGAAAGCTTTCACTCTGCTACGCATATGCAGAGCAGCGGATACGGGCCTTCAAAGAGTCCATCATTTCAATTTTTACACATGATAGAGCTCTTTCTTTCAAAGACATGACCAGATGCTATCACACACACACACACACACACGTGTTTAGTTCACAAGGATTAGAGACAGTAGGAAACGGTTCCTCCTCCAGTCGATCCTTGCAGTGGCAGTCAGTAAATCTGGACGCAGGAAAATCTCGCAGAGTCTTCGGGCACAGACTGCTCCTCAGATCAAGATATGCTTAAACAAAAGAAAAGTCACGTCGGTACTAGCCACCCGATGTGCCAAAGTTTAGGTGGCAGGAGGGCGAGGAAAAGCAAAAAGGCCCAAAAGAGTCAGTTTAAAGAGACGGATGGTCAAGGATGCCCGGGCATGGCATGCTCAGCATGAATGATGTGCTTCACAGCCCCCTCAACTTCGGGACGACCAGGCACAACCGCACATCGGCTGAGTTGAAGTGGGGGCTCTCTTCGCTTCAGATGGCCTCTTTCGTATTTTTTGCCTCTTCGGATCCCAATGTTGATTATTAGAGCTGGCAGGTTGAAGAGAGAGGGAAAGAGAGGGGCAGCGTAGCGGGAAGGATAAGAAATTAAAAGATTGTCCTGATGTGCGCGGAACCCGATCTACGATGTGTTTGAGGCTTTCCCTCCCTCTCGGATCGAGAGCGGTTTGTAGTGACGGTGACGACAACTCGAGATGAATGTGGGCAAGAAGGACAGGCGGTGGTGTTTCGGTGCATACATCCGATGTCCCAAGAAATTTCCGTGCAACAAGAATGCAATCGCCAATTACCCAGTCGTTCTTCGTATTATTTCAAAAATTCCTATTTGAACCTATTTTTGATGGATCCTGAATGTGCGTGAAGGTGATAATCGATGCATTCTATGGATGTTGCCGTGTCGCTGAAAATAGCACATCTCGAATCACCAGGTCCAGTATCGAGGTGCTCAAACTGTGATCAAATGATGTTTCGATGTCACTCGACGATGCCACTCGACGATGGCCCAAAGATAGTTTCTTGGTTGGTTGCTGAGTGCACCAAGCGTATCAATTCTCGTTGTTGTCGTTGTCGACTGAGGGGTCAACATTGAACATTGAAGCGAGGTCGACAAGTCGAGTACACTCCAGCGCTAGAGCTTGAGGCGAGAACGTGAAAGGTTTAGGCGTGACTGGCCCACTTGGTGTCCGAGAATCTGGCTGTACTAGCGCAGGCGCATCACTGTTTCAGAACTGACTAGGGGCAACCCCTCGCCGCCGCCTGGCTCGCCCTTGCCCAAACCGACCCGGGGCAACAGGAGCCAATGAAATCGCCCAAAACCATTCAAGACCCTTGTTGATCTTCAACCTCCTTGTCGCGGGGTTTGACTTCGCCCCCTTTTGGGTCTTCTTTTTCTTCAGTTTCGACTCTTTGTTCCTCGCTCCTGTCTGTTCGCTCTCTCTCGAACTCCTGCATCGCTACCTCAGTTCCTAGCGTGGACTTTTGAACCGCGCGCTGAATGGTGAGAAAGGCAAGAATGTGCCGGGTGGCCTTTCCATCTCTTTCTTCCCTATCGAAAGCGAGAGGGTGGGCTGCATTTTGTGGTCTTGAAGCGCGAATCCTTTGGCTCCGAGGATGAGAGCCAGTCTCGCCATTCTCGCTAATAGGTCATCTCCATTCCCTGACCTGGATGCATATGGGAGATTCGAATGGATCAGGCTTTTGGCAGTGGGGGTGATGGAATTAATTCATGGCCTGACATTGAAGAACCACCTCGAGGAGATTTTGACAGGGATCAATGAGTTCGATGACCCCCAACCCTTTTGCAGTAGCATTGTTCTCAAGCACAGCAATGCGTGGGCGATCGAGCAATCGCTGCGAGGACGACCAAGAGTTAACGGCAATCGATGCGAGGGCTACCTCTCTTGCGCTCGTCTTGGCTGGCCCTCAGCTGGGTGGATCTAGTCGTTGGCATGACGAGATGGAATGGATAGCAGGGCCTGCTGAACGTGAGGTGTCGGCTTTGGCGGCGTGAAGCCCCGTTACTTTGGCTCGAGGTGGAGAATGGGCTGTCTCTGGTGCATCGGAATCCAAGGGACCCCTACTCGGCAAGACAGTATTGACTTTCCTTTCTTGTTCCCTTTTTCCTTGCTTTTTGATCGATGAAGAGTGTGGCAGGGGTTGTTTGGTGGTTGGAGAAGGGGCGGCGAGTGTTAACGCCGTCACCAAGGTTGGCTTGGCTGCCAAAACCAATGAGGAGTTTGACGTGGTACCTGGAGCCCGTTTAACCTTTTCCTTTTCTGCGTGGGCGAATTGTTACTGGCTCTGTCTTGTTCTGGCTACCCCTTTCCTTGTGCGCTAGTGTCATGGAGTGTACTGCAGTTCGCCCTTGTGTACCTCCGGGCCTGTATGCAATGGATCCTGGATGGAGGTACGGAGACGGGGGAGGAGGAGGGGGAGAGGGCAGTTGACATTCGACAGCCGTTTCAGCTCCGTGCGTGCCCGTTCTTCGATCCCAGTCCGCTGGGCACGCAGTCCGGCCGCTAATACCACCAAGCGACGCCTTTTTTCGCCCTCCCTCTCCCCAATCCGACCCTAACCCACCTCGACTCTCTCTCCATGTGTCACGGTCCTTGCGTTGGCATGGTCCTTCTTTACCTCTCCTTCCCTTCTCTTCCCTTCTTTCTTTCCCTTCCCCTTCCACTCTTTTGTCGTCATCAACCGACTTGGTAGACAACCTGGTGGGCCCTAGAGTCAAGATATTCGGGTCGTCAGCTTCTCTTTCTTCTTTTCTTCACCTTCTCCAGGCACTAGTTGCCTTTTTCATTCGTTCCAGGTTGATCCTCGGCCATCTTCTTTTTGAAATCCTCCTTTTTCAAAAAGGCCTGACCTTTTCTTCTTCTCGAGCTTTTGCTTCGAGGGATCTTCTTTCTGTGTGATTTTTCTTATTTTCTCTTCTCTTTCTTCTTCTCCCTCCTATCCGCCTCTGTGTGTGTGGTTCTTCGCTTCTTCGCGTTTTTTTCTGTTTGTCGCCGGTATCCGACGCCCTCTTCGATTGACACTTTTTACCGACTTTGACGAGTCCGATTTACGCACCTACCTATTTTGCCCCGATTTTAGGAAAAAGGGAATTTTGGTTTTACGACAAGGAAACGAGAAATCTGGTTTTGCGAGAATTTGGGCGATTTCAAGCGTATTCGATTCAGACGACGACAATTTTCGGATTCGAGCGAGCCGTATAAGTCGAGATAGCGTCTAAACCCACCAAAGCCGAATTTCGCATTCCAAACCCGTCCCCGCCTTTTCAAATTGAGCACCTAAAATGAAGGGACTTTTCCGAGCTGCCTGCGCGGCGGCTGCTCTCGCGAGCGGAGCGCTGGCGGTGGATATTTTGGAGACCGTCAGCTTTTCTAGCTGCGCCAACTCGACCTCGACGGTCCAGGTCCAGAGGATCAACATTCAGTACAACAAGGAAAACCAAACCGTCACCTTTGACGTGCAGGGATCGAGTTCCCGGATCCAAAATGTGACGGCGGAACTCAAGGTGACTGCGTTTGGTGCAGAGGTTTACAGCAACAAATTTAACCCTTGTGACAAGGGAACGTTTGTCGAGCAACTGTGCCCAGGTACGTTTTTTTTTTGGGTTTGCAAGCCTTTGACGTAGAGCGGGGTGGAGGGGATTGAGAAGAGTACGGAAGCTCTTTTGGGGCTCTGAGGTGTGAACCAAGAAAAAAGAATTCGCGACTAACATGACCGTGTTAGTTCCTGCCGGCACGTTTGGTGCTCGAGGCACGCAGCTGATCCCCAAGGAATTCGCCGACCTCGTCCCCGCCATCGCCTTCCAGGTTCCCGATATCGCCGCACTCGCCACGCTGGAGCTCAAGTCCCTCGAGACCGGCGAGGACGTCGGGTGCGTCCAGTCCCAGGTGTCCAACGGCAAGACGGCCAGCGTCCCCGCCGTGTCGTACGTGGCCGCGGGCGTGGCGGGCGCGGCCCTCGTGGTGGGCGGCGTGTCCGCCATCAGCGCGGCCATCAGCGGCGGCGCCAGCGCGATGGGAGGCGGCCTCGCGGGCGGCGGCTCGGCCACGGGCGGCGGCATGGGCACCGTGAGCCCCAGCTTCACCGAGGTGTTTGGCTGGTTCCAGGGCATGGCCATGAACGGGATGCTGTCGGTCAACTACCCGCCCATCTACCGCAGCTTCGCCAAGAACTTTGCCTTCTCCACCGGCCTCATCCCCTGGACGCAGATGCAGGAGGCCATCGACGGCTTCCGCGGCATGACGGGCGGCAACCTGACGCAGAGCAGCGTGGCCATCCTGCGCAACACCACGCTCGTCTTCCCCGACGGCTCGACGGCGAGCGGCAACAGCTCCATCTTCAAGGTCAAGCGCGCGTTTGAGGGCTTCGCCGTGCTCGCCGCGCGCCAGATCGAGACCTCGATCGACACCACCACGCCCGTTCCCGAGCAGCAGGCGGGCGACGACGACGCCATGACGGTCATGAAGCAGGCCGTCAGCGGTATCCAGGCCTACGTGCAGCAGCTGAGCATTCCCGAATCCAACACCTTCATGACGGTGCTCCTCGTCGTGGCCATCGTCATCGTCACCATCGCCGTCGGCATCCTCCTCATCAAGGTGATCCTCGAGTTCTGGGCCCTCTTTGGGAATTTCCCGCGGCGCTCACGGGGTTCCGCAAGCACTACTGGGGGTCCATCGCCCGCGCCATCACGTCGCTCATCTTCCTCCTCTACGGCATCTGGGTGCTCTACTGCGTCGTCCAGTTCACCAAGGGCGACTCGTGGGCGGCCAAGTCCCTCGCCGGCGTCACCCTCTTCCTCTTCACCGCCATCCTCCTCTTCTTCTCCTACAAGATCTGGAGCACCGCCCGCAAGCTCAAGCGGAACGAGGGCGACACCAGCGGCCTCTACGAGAACAAGGACATTTGGGTCAAGTACAGCCTGTTTTACGAGTCCTACCGCAAGGACTACTGGTGGATCTTTGTCCCCACCATCGGCTACATGTTCGTCAAGGGCACCCTGCTCGCCGTCACCGACGGCAACGGCAAGATCCAGACGGGCGGCCAAATCATCGTCGAGGCCGTCATGCTCGTCCTGCTCCTGTGGAGCCGTCCCTACGAGCGCAAGTCGGGCAACATTATCAACATCGTGATCCAAGTCGTTCGCGTGCTTTCCGTCGTGTGCATCCTCGTCTTTGTTGAGGAGCTCGGCATCGCCCAGACTACGCAGACCATTACGGGTGTCGTCCTCATCGCCGTGCAGTCGGCGCTGACCGGTATCTTGGCGATCCTGATTCTCTGGAATGCCATCAACCAGTGCTGCAAGAAGAATCCCCACCGTGAGAGGAGGAAGGAACTCGGTAAGTTTTTTTAGTTTTTTTCCCTTCCCTTCATACCATCAACTGGCGTAAAACGGCACTGCCGGCTCTCCGTACACCAAGATGCTTTTTTCGCATGCTAACCGCAACCACTACAGAAAAAGTACGAGACACGGACAACCTCACCCCTCTAGACGCCCGCAACTCCCTCCTCCTCGACCGCTCCCAGATGGACGAAAAGGACTCAACCACCTTCTCCATGGCGTCCGCGGTAGAGAAGTCGGGCTATGCCCGCTCCTCCTCCCCGACAGGTACCTCGGCAACTACGACACCTCGTACAGCGAGAAGCCTTCGCAGCTCTCGCCCAGCAACGGGTTCGCGAGCCCCTACCGGCCCATCACCCCCAACACGCCCATCTCGTTTGGCGACCAGAGCCGCGAAGGCCTCATCAACAATGCCGCGCCCATTGGCTACCTCGACTCGAGGCAGCCTACGATACCGAACCTCGGCGGGTTCGGCGGCGGGTACGGAGGGCAACAGCAGCAGCAGCAACAACAGCGTGGCTACGGCAACAATCAGGGCTATGGCCGATCGTACTACTAAGAGTCTTCTACTACTAGCATGTGTAAATCCTTTTTTCTTTTATAGAGAGGCACACGTTGTGGAAGATTTCTTATTCCCAGTACGGCACCCTTTTCTTCCGACTCCGATTGCCTTTCGCCCTTTTTTGATTGGTATTCAACTTCACTGCGCTGCGCTTTCCATTTCCCACGTACTTTATGTCAAGTCCCTTGTCGACGGCCGATTAAATACCCTCTACATTCCCTAAATTCATTTATCTTGACTCACATTCAGAGCCTCATTTTCATCTTGGTTTCTAATTTTCCTTGAGTCTTTTTTCTTCTTTTCTTTTGTCATCATCTCTGTGCTGCTTCTTTCCCGTTTTTAGTCAAGCTGGCAAGAACATATTCTCGACTGGCTACATCCGCATATCTTGTATGATAAAAAGAGAGGAAAGAGAGAGAGAGAGAGAGACGCGCACTACTATCCGCAACGGAAACAAGACAAATACTAGCAAAGGTGCACACACACATATTCCACGAAGTAACGAAAGCTGGGCGGGCGAGTGGACACGAGGATGGCTGGCGGTATGGTGTGTACGATGATGGGGAAGAACAGGAGACAAGGCCGAGTGAGGCGCCCAGCATCCATGAAGCATAACTTGATATCTGTGGATGTGCTGTTGCCAACTGTGTATTCTAGTCGAACGACAGCTTTAAATATCAAAACACACAAACATACGCACACGTACACGAGTCCGTGAAACGCTACACTTGTTTTTCTTTTCTCCTCTCCCCTTTGTTTTTGACAAACTTGGGATTAACCCGCCGTGATATTCAGATGAGAAGCCCACGTGCTATTTTTGGGCCCAGATGGTGGGAGCTAAAAGGAAAGAATGGCTGCCAGGTCCCGCAGCATGTCTCCCGAAATCGTCATTCGCCAAGTCTGCTTGTATCAGCGGGGGAAAAAGGGGGGTTTGTGGACGCGAGTAGGCGAGACGCAACAAGGTGCGATGTCATATTTATAGTAACCGGCCGGCTTAGAGACCCAAGACCCGTCCTTCGCGCCCCCACCTCTTTCGTCCCGGCGAGCCGCGTATGTGGGCGTGGTCGCGGGTTCGGTTCCACCTGCCGTTCGTCTCGAGAAAGGCGAAGGAGGTGGGTTAAAGGAAAGGAATTGCACAGTGCTCTCGTGTGAGACGGCACGGCTTCCATCTTAGGGGACAAGAGAGAGTAGATTAGACAGGAAGGAGGGACTGTTCAAGAATCTATTTTGACGATTTTCTGTACGTGTTTTAACTATGTGTGCGTGCTGATAAGGTTCAATGACTGCTATTTCACAGTCGAGTCACGTTGGCACAAATTCGCCCTCAATTTCGTAGGTGTTCTTCTTGTCAGGACTCCCAAGTACTGAGTTGGCGACCCAAAGGTCCAAGGCTGGAAATGGCCCTGTCGACTGGCAGAGCGAAACACAAAAGGTGGTCTCACATGTCCTTATCGATAGGCCCCTCCACCCCGCCTCGCTCACGGGAGCTTCACCTTTCACCCCACGTACGTCACACACATCAACCATCCCTACTCGATCAAGTGCCGCCGAACAAACGGCCGGCCAGCACCCCAGAGCAAACTGCGGCCTTTGTTTGTAGTATTCCCCATCTTCCATTCTCTTCTCCTCTTCCTCATCACGCTCTTTTTTTCTTCTTCCTTCGCTAGCGAGCCGGGCCGCACAGAAATTGTTCGCGACGGGCAAGGAGGAGACAGAAAAAAGGCTGGCACCGGGGAAAGGGAGGCCCACTACGTAGGAATTCCCCGGGCCGGAAACGGGCTCTTCTGACGCGAGATGAGCGACCTTCAACGGGCCTGGGCGAAAGCGAAGCTGGATGTCTTGGCAACATTCGACGAAGATGACGCCGGGATCGGGAGGAGAGCAGAAGCGACGGTAGAGGAAGGCGAGGGGGCCGATGGTCTCGGAGAGCTGCCGGAGATGGGGGATGATGATTCGAGCTCGGCGAGCTCGGCGAGCTCCACGGGAACAGTGATCCCGTCACCTAGTCAGAGGCTGTTTGCGAGACCACGAATGTAGGTCTTCCATCTTCACTCTCGCCTTTTTCTTTTTCCCTCTTTCACCACCATACCCCCACCGTTATTCCCTTCAACTTCCTCATTCTCGTATTCAAAATCTTTTTCCCCAAAAAACTGACGGGGAACCCCAAAACCCCTTGCTCCACGCACCAGGCTCGACCGCGGCAAAAGCATGTCCCAAATCCCATGGACCGCCTACTTCGAGCGCGAGCTCCGCCTCCCCGCCCCGTCCCCTTCCCCCTCACGCACCACGCCTACCTCAACTCCCCCAGCGGCAAAGCCCCGCTCTTCGTCTTCCACCACGGCGCCGGCTCCTCCGGCCTCTCCTTTGCCCTCCTCTGCGCCGAGATCCGCAAACACCTCCCCGGCCGGCATGCTCTCCGCCGACGCCCGCGGCCACGGCGCCACCACCGACGCGTCCGGCGCCGATCCGGACCTCGGACTCGAGACCCTGACCGACGACTTGCTCTTCGTCGTGCGCGCCGCCGCCCAGCGCATGGGCTGGGCCGACCTCCCGCCCCTCGTGCTCGTCGGCCACTCCTCGGCGGCGCCGTCGTCACCAACTTGGCCAAGCGGGTGCCCTCGGCCCCAGCGTCCTGGGCTTCGCCGTGCTCGACGTCGTCGAGGGCTCCGCCATGGATGCTCTCCAGAGCATGATCACTTACCTGTCTACCCGCCCCGCGGGGTTTCCTACCCTCGAGGCCGGTATCGATTGGCACGTGCGTAGCCGTACGGTGAGAAATCTCACGTCGGCGAGGACGTCTGTCCCCGCCCTCCTCGTCCGAGACAACGGCGAGGGTGGCGCATCGGCCGCGGCCGTGGCCGCAGCCGAGGGAGAAGGAGAGAACGAGGGCGGACGTGGGGCTGCGACGTCGTCATCGTCGTCGGGAGACAGGGGAATAGGCTGTGGAAGTGGAGGACGGACCTGGCCGCCACCCAGAGGTTCTGGGAAGGCTGGTTCGTCGGCCTGAGCAAAAGTTTCTCGAGGCCCGGGGAGGCAAGCTGCTTCTCTTGGCGGGGACAGACCGGCTCGATACCGAGTTGATGATTGGGCAAATGCAGGGTGGGTTATCTTCTTTGTTTTTCTTCTTCTTTTTCCCCCTCGCTTCTCTAGCTAACTTGACGCCACGCCCCATCCAGGTAAATACGCCCTACAGGTATTCCCCGAGGCGGGCCACTTTATCCACGAAGACCTCCCCGAGAAGACGGCCATGGTTCTCGTAGACTTTTATCGGCGAAACGACAGAAGCCAGCTGGTGCTGCCGCCCAAGGTATCGGAACTGCTGAGGCAGGGGAAGAAAGTATAGGCCCAGTCATACGCAAGGGCTGCGTGTGCTTGGATTTTTGGATGCATAAACGAGGTGCACTTTTGATGATCTACTTTGTTTCCTTTTTCCCCCTTTTTCTTTTTCCTTTGCAAGGAGTCCGGGTCGCCTTTCAACTTGTGGGAAAAGAAGAGATGAATAGTTCCTTGTTGAGTGGTATCATTTCAGCTATTCAAAGTAGCCTAGACATATTCTCCGTCTGTCCTATCTCCAACTATAGCTCGGTTGTTTTATGATTTCTAATGGTACAAGTCACTGCCAAGGCCATTCCGGTTTCCTTCCTTGTATACAGTAGCGTGGTTTCTATTTTGTTCCGTACATATGTACTCCTAGAGCAGATGTACGCCACCAGGAGACTGTTTGAGAGTGGGTGGCCTACTACAGTTCCACCCACTCCTCCCCGCCATCTTGCTCTACTTTCTCTCCCCTATACCCCTACCCGCCTCGTCTTCCGACTCAGAGTCTGCGACGTCCCTCATCAGCTCAATCATGCTCTTCATTCTGTAATCCAACACGGGCGTTTTCCAGTCCTCTTCAACGAGCCCGTAGGTCTCGGGCACGCTACTCCCATCCCTGCTCATCTTGCGCGGGTTAAGTGCCCAGTAGCCAAAGTCGGCATCAAGCACCTTGAGGTAGCGTACGAGATGCCTCCAATACCGGGCGTCACCCACACCGGGGCGCGCGGGTGCTCCAAACTCGCCAACCCAGACGGGGGCAATGTCGCCCTCGAGAAGGTATCCCCAGTGGCGCCGGACGGTGGAAACAAAGGACTCGTAGGAGCGGGTGGCGTAGCGGCCCTTGAGGGCTCACCCCAGCCGGACCAAGAGTACGAGTGGGAGGAGTAGACGACTCGGTCTCGACCGGCGGCAAGGCGAACGGGGCGACGGGCGACGCCGGACAGGTCGTTGCCCGAGGAGGTGCCACCGACGATGATGAGCCAGTCCGGGTTGAGGGCGAGGAGGCGGTCGCCTGCGCGCTCCGCCGCGGCGGCCCAGCTGTCCCAGGACATGGTGCCCCACAGGCCTCGAACTTCGTTGCGTAGGTCCACGCCGATGACCAGAGGATCGTCAGCCAGGGGCGCCACGACGGCTTCCCAATGGCGGATCCAGTCCTCCTCGGTTTGGCGGAGGGGACACAATGGACCCAGGTGGTCGTTCTTCCAGGAGGCGTCGCACAAATCGAAGCCGTCGCACCAACTAGCACGGGTGATGTGGTTGTTGACAATAACGGCTATTCCAGCGCCTGTCAGGCTCCGCACGGTGGCGTGGAAGACCTCTAGCGCAGAGAGGCCGATCAGGTCCGGATTAGCGGCCACGTCGGCAGCGCGCACGATGGGGTTAGAGGTGACGAGCTCATCGCTGTAAGGGAGGCGCACCGAGTTAAAACCCAGGCGGCGGATCAGGCGGGCAATATCATCACGGTGACGCGCGTCTAGGCCGCCCGATGCAAAGAGCTCGTCGCTCGCGCCGTACCAGTTTACCGAGGCGAGCTTGACCCGCCGTCCGCGCGCGTCCACCACGTCCCGGCCCCGCGTTCGTAGCGGGAGCTCATACGTGGACATGGCGGGCGCCAGCTCCGACTCGGGCGGTAGGCGGTTCGCACGCTCAAAGGCGAGGGAGGCGGCGTCGGGGTCCAGGGCGCATCGAGGGCGCGCTGCGAGGCCCGTACTCGGTACACCAGGACAAGGAACAAGACGACGGCGATGCCCGTCAGGACGAGGATCGGGGAGGCCATTCTTCTTCTCCGCCCTCTTCTTCCTTTGCCCCTTGAGCCCCGCCGATTTTCCTCCTACCGCTCGCACTGGTAGCACTGTTCCTTTGATAGCCTGGCTCCACGTCCGTCTCAGCTGCGGCGGGTTTTGTGGGACTGAGGCCCCGGACGATAGGCCTTTGGTCGTCGTGATCTTGGTAATCTTGGCCGTGGCTGTGGTCGTGGTCGTGGTCGTAATCGTTCTCATCATTGAAACCCCGGGGAGTTTGGTGGGGCGCGGCGACAGGGAGCGACGAGGGATGTTGTGTTTTGGGTCGCAAAGCGGCAAGGAAATTGCAGAGACCCATGTCGTCTCAAGCTGTCGCGTGAGTGTCCCGGGCGGTCGGTTTCGGGTAGCACTTTCCTAATTCGACTAAATTGATGGCTTCGCTAGAACCCGTGCCGTTTCGTGCGCCGGCAATCAAGAAAATAATAGAATAAAGGCCGACTCCACGGTAAAGAAGATAGAATGATGCTAGAATCTCCTGGATCCGTCTGGTATATATACGATCAAAGAAGAAAAAAAGACAAGTGTGGGGGAGGATAAAAAGGATGAAGGGGAAAAAGGGTATCAAACAAAGAGAAGAACAAGACACTCTAGAGGAAGCTCACGGGGATAGCAAGAAGCATGTAAGGGGCATCCGCAGCTGCGAGGAAACGGAACTGAACGGAGGATACTAGATCACATGCGAGTCTGCCCCGTCACAATAACTCAGGGTAAAAGGGAGAAGAAATGGGAAAATGGTCCAGTGTGCATTCGCTCCTTCTATTCTTCTCGTTCGGCCCCCACTCCGCTGTCCCTTCCCTTTTCTGTTCGTGATGATGCCGATAATCGGGTTCAGCGGGTTTTGGAGCGGGCGTGCGAGCGGGCGTGCGTGCGTGCGATCAAGGCAGGTGCGGACGTGGGTCTGTCGACCGTGGCATCTCAGGTCTCAAATCGTTTCGTAACCAAAAGGCATGTCTTGAGTATGGTTATGGCTGTCTTGGCGCGAGGCGTGCTTTGCTCAGCCCGGGATAGCGAGGCATGCCAAACATCAAGCGCCATGCATCATTCACCGAGAAGAAAGGAGTAAAAAGATATCGAATTGTCACTGCGAGGGAAGAGGAGGGTGAGACGCTTCTAAAAAAGCGAAAATCGCCAGCCTTGGTAAGTGAAGCGAAAAAAACAGAAATGGATGAGAAATCAGTTGTCGGAAGCTGCGGCCACACCTTTCTTCTTCAAGGGCCCAATCCTCAAACGCACCATGCCTTTGCTCCCCAATCCCGTCGCTTCTTTCCTCCTTGCGGTCTAGTTTCCACGCTTTCCCTCCAAGAGAATCTATTCGCCCGTCATCTCCAGCGGCCCAAACCAAGATCAGGATCAGGAGCAAAAACAACATAAGCTTGAGAAGCAGCTCTGGCGGGGTCTTTCTTTTTCGCCCCAAAAAAATCCCGGGCTTCCGGCGGGGCGAGCTCTGCTCCCCCTTCCCCGCCGCTCGCCTGGTTTCTTCCCGATCCCTTAGCTGTGTGGACTTCGACTTGCCTGATTTTAGGTCATCGCGGCGACGTGGCCCAACCCGGTACCCCGAGGGCGCTGCTTTTATATAATCCAATTCGCGCATGTGGCTTCAGCTAGTGATGAACCCTGTGCGTCACCGGAACACGTCGGTGACAGAAAGCCATGGGCGTGGGCGGATCTGCCGGCAGCCACTTTCCCACCCTCTGCATGCCAATACCGCAGCCATCTCGGTTCGGTGCGGTATCGACGAAATAAAAATAAACGAACCAAGTGGGGTTGTCCGATTGGGACCTGATCTTATAGTACATCCATCTAATCAAGGTTGAGTGGACGACCATCGATTGATGTAGGACCGTGGATAAGCTTAAAATGTTTTTTTCTTATGGCTGTTTTGAACAAAGGTCTATCTATAAGTATTGAAGTGTATGTAACATGGGGAATTGAATATCGATACAGGGAACGTTAAGAAGTTGTGTTGGTACAGCTCAAGGATTCTCCCCGCGAATCCCCTCGCTCCTCATAAGCCAACAACCAAGAGGAAAGAATAAAAAAGATAAAAGTAGAAGAAAAAGGAGAAAAGAAACGCAGAAAAAAAGTACATATATCGAGGGGAAGGGAACTGGGAGCCTTCCAAGACTGAACTACTGCATTCAAAGTCTTCATACACCTCGCTGATATATCCCATCTGTTCGTCTTCAGTTCATCAAAAGAGAGACAGAAAGTGGAAGTATGGGTCAAGTAGCCCTGAAATAAAACTTGAGAGGTTTTGTTAAATCACAACTATGCCGTGCTACCACGCATCGGCAAGCGTACTGAGTAGGACGCTCGGCAGAGGTCGCGGCCACACATCTCTGGCACTGTTTTGGCAGAGTGTGTGGTGGCCAGTTCTCCGAAATTGGAGTCTGGACGTCCGCAATTCTTATCAAGATAGAAAGGGACGGTTCTCAGGGGCGGGGCCAGGTTGGCGAGGCGTGAGATGCCTTGCCTCTTTGCCTTTGTCGCGGCTCGATCATGGATATCAGGGACGAGGAATCTGGACTGCTGCGAAGCGCGTGACCTCGGCGCAGTCAGAGATCCGAGATTCGTACCCCGTCGCCACCGGGTTCCGTTCCAATTTTGGCACCGCCCCTAGGTTGGTTCCCCGCCGTCCGTCTCTTCGGACCTGGGAAGCGTAATGGCTTTGGTAGATATTTGCCCAGAGTCGGTGGAGAGGGAAGGAAATAGTCGTGTTCCCCGACCTGCCAAAATGATTGGCCGGAGTCATGATGCCACCCGTAAGAGGCAGGTCATCTCTTCTTTGTTGAATTTTTCCTCGTTTGCCGCTGCAGTTGTTGCAGTTTTGGTGTTGTTAGTTGTTGGTATTTTATCGTCATCATCATTATCTTTTGCTTCCCCACATATCATCATCAGATTCGAGGTCGAGGCCCCGAGCGCTTAGTTGTTTTATATCTTGTTCATCCCGAGAGGATTCATATCCTCGTAATCCTGATCCCGGTCGTTGATCCAATAGTTTTGCCTTTGGGGTTCCTGCGGGCGCGCGTACGTCGCCGTCGAGTCCCAGCCCCCGTGGGGACGTGGGAGGCCTGGGGCTGGAAAACGACCTCGAAGGCACGTTGTACCTCGCCGTCTGGCCGTAGTAATCGGGCGTCTTGAAGCCGCCAGTAGTAGTTGGGCTCATCGTAGAGAGATGGACTGGAGGAAGAGACGTTACCACAGAATTCTCGTCTTTGGACAGCATCTCATACGAACGTTGGTCATTCTTGTACTCGTGGCGCGCATCCACCGATACGAACTCGGCAGACTTGCCGCCAAAGAAGCTCTTGAAAAGGTCCACCCAGCCGAGAACCATTGACCATCGGCCAAGGAGGAAGAGGAGGAGAATTCCGTTGATCTAGCGCACACCATCCGTTAGTTTGTTCGTCACTTCTCGCTGCGTATCTCGGGGAGGTGCTAGGTGCAAAACTTACAGCCAAGAGGATAAGTACCGCCATAATGGTGGCCTGGCTGACCGCCAACGCTGTCGCTTTATCAAGGCATTGGCTCCGGTCACCACCGCTAATGTACGCGAGGGCCAAGCAAGCAGTCCACTCCTGGCCGATGCTCGGGTCGTCCTTGACCGCCTGGACCGTGTTGTCCTGGAAGACGAAAACCACGGAAAAGAAGATGACGTCGGCGACGATGATGAGCACAATGGCAATGCCCCTCCACTGCAGCTGAATCACCCTCTTCACGCGGCGGTATGCCTGCCTGGGCGTCATGGTCTTGATGCTGTTGGTGTAGGGAATCCCCGAACCCTCGGTCGAGGCGCTTGAATCCGCCAACGAGGCGAGGTATACCTTGATGCAGTAGCCAAAGGTGGCGAACTGAAGCATGACCGTGATTCCGGCGAAGAGGAGGAGGGGAATCCAAAAGTCGGCGAGCGAGTTCTGGTGGTTGATGTGGCACGTGGCCCCGAACCGGAAGGAAACGCCGCTAAAGACAAGCGCGAGGATGACGACGACGAGCGGGATCACCCAGCCCGTGGCGTGGGAGAAGATCATGAACATGCGTCCGACGTTTTGTTGCCAGCAGATTTGGAGGTGGAGCGAGACTGATCGGAGGAACACCCACATGACCGCCGCGAAGCCGCCGAAGAGCAGGGCCGTCGCCGAAGCCGCGCAGACCGTGCTGGTCTCCATGTCGTGGGGGTAATTTCGTTGTAGCATTGTTCGGGTTTCGCCGCGAGCGGTATTATAAAGCCGAGCTGGTCATTCCTGCATTAGAACGGTACGCACACCACCGTGGCGGATTTCTTTTTTCCACTTCTCTTCCGCCGCTTGGGAAGGGGAGGGGAGGCCTTGATCTCACATTCATAATGAGCACTGCCGAGGCAATCGAGATACTGAGGTAGTGCCTGTGCGTCTTGTCCACCGGCAGGACAGCGTATGATAGCAGCAGGAAAACGTTGCAGACCGCCGCCACTACGCTCAGCCAGTTGGCCACTGTCGACATGGTGTTGAAGGACTCGGGATATACCCAGTCCGTCACAGGGCACGGCAAGCAGCATGTAAGGTCAGCGCTGAGGGGCTGGCACAACCGTCCTTCGACAACTTTTCGGGTTAGGCACACCAAAGTTAGCATCACCACCCATTTTCACGAGCAGATCAGAGCTTGAGCACTCCTGACTTACAGCCTTCGTCAATTGGGAACCTGGCGGGGTCAAAGAACGGCGCCAGGCAGGCCCCGCGTAGGGCCTTGACGGCCGTCTCGTTGGCCGCAAACACCATCTCGAAAAGTCGTATTCAAGGCTGCCAAAATAAGCAGCGTGTTTTGTGTGCGATCACTTAGAATTCCGCAAGGAGAGGCCGTGACTGATGGACCTCGAGTTGACTTGCTGCCTGCTTTCTTCTATTCGTCTATTGCCGTTTGGTTGTCCCTGTCAAGAAATCGCCGATTGGAATATATATTCGGGGGTCGGTTCGTGGAGTATCGGGCGGCACGTATATGTTGTGGCGAAATATCGGTGGGCGTAGAGTCCAGCAAAGCCCGGAACAGACTAAAGGTTGAGTCCGAAAAGCGTTACTGCTACCCAAGGTAGATATGGCAAACTGTATAGCTGCCACCGGCGGCGAGATATTCAAACACTCGAGACCAACAGGCACGACGGGTCGGTTGGTTGGGGTGGACGGGCAGGGCGCGCGTCGAAAGGCAGACTCGGTTGCGATCTTCCCAATCGCAAGCTGAATCCAAGGGTTGGATTAAGGAAGAGTTGTAGAAGGAAGAAGGAAGAAGAAAGAAGAGAGGACAAAAAGAAAAAGAAGAACCAGAGCACCAAAGTCTGGGGAAAGCTTAAAGTAGAAAAGACAAAAAGGAAAAAGAGGAAGCAGAAGGGAAGAAAAGTATGTCCCGAGAAGGTGGAAGAGGGTGGGAGAGGCGAAGATATGTAGTACTGTATCCACTTACATCCAGGATCCATTGATGTGAGTGAGAATCACGACTCCATCGTCCCTTCATTCAAACGTAACTTGTACAGCTAGATTATTATTACCCTCTTCGGCGTGTTCCTGCAATCCAGCGCGCCCAGACCAAGTGAATGGGTCCCGCCCCAGAGAAAAGAACATTGCAGACCTCTTCCACTACCACTAGCCTCCCTCACAGTCACACGTTCCCGGGGGTTTGAGAGAATGGTCTGTCCTTCTCCTCTACCTCTCTCTCCCTCCAAGCTAGAGGGAACGGATGCGACGCGTTACCGTTGGTCCGGCTCCTCTCAAGTTGCCCCATCAAAGTTCCAAGTCGTACCCTTTGGCTGTGCTATTGGTACAGGGCGGTACGTCGGCTTGGCCAGCATCAATCGCACGAAATTGTCCTCTCGGTCGCGTACCAACCGTACCAACCGTCCTTTTTCTGCCTGCTTCAAGGCAGAAGAAGAAGAAGGGGGCCGCTGTAGAGGAGACTGAACAAGGCGATGGGCAGGGGTCTGCACCTCTCATTGGGGAAACTTGGAGGGTGTGATGAGCGAGCCCCACCAGTCGGGCCTAACCAGGGAGTGAATCTTCGTCTTTTTTCCTTCTCTCCCAAAGGACTTCTGCAGAGAGAACATGAAAAGGGCATTGCCTACGCCGCCTTTGCCCTCTCGCGGTGGTGTCCGTGGGGCGCAACCCATGCATTGAACATGCGGGCCATATACCTGGTCCGGAATAGACAGGGGTACTTGAGAATGGATGGAAGGGGCAAGAGGAGAGAGCCAAGCGAAGAGGAGGGGGAGGGGAAGTGGGGGCAGGGGTGGGAACATCACGGGTGGAGGGGTGGATTAGGATTTTTGTGGGAAGGGAAAGAGGGTGTGGCAATGAGCATCAGCGGGAGCGGATTTCGACGGACCAGGAAAAAAAGAAAAACGAATGGGAGGGGGCGAACAAGAGTCAAGGGCACCGAGGGAGGAGGGTCGGGCGAGCAATTGCTGGGCTGGAACCCCTGTTCCTGGCCACCATGAAGAAGGACGGAAATTGAATCGTATGGGCGCACGGGTATTCTCATCGCCCTCGCCGTGGACCACTTTTTTCTCTTTCAAGCCCAGCCCAGCGTCTCCGGCGGCGTTGATCCTCAAATCATCGCTCAGACACTCGTTAATGAGCACCCAATGCCAAGTCGAGGGAATCGAACGGCCCTAAATGTCTGTGCAACGAACCATCTTTGCGCTGGGAGCATGATGATACCGTGGCTGTTACTCGGAGAGGCTCGGCCGTGACGGCTTCAGTATGATATCAGAGACACTTGGGTTATTTTTGTTCTTGTTTTCGTCCTTGGCCGACGAGGGTAGCCAGTTCAACGAACTATTCAGCACCCTTACCGAGGTGCACTCACTCAAACAGATCAATGGGAAGTGGGGGTTGGGGGAGAGGGGCAAAGCTTGAAAGGAGAGAGACAAAGACCTTGATTCATGTTGGAACACGGAAACGATTCATCGGTCTCTGGTCCTCTCTGACTTGGCATTCCGAATTGATGCCTCGTTGGCCATGTCTCGCCTCTTTCTCTCATAGAAAAAACCTGCCAAAAGATAAGAAATTGATCTTTTTGACAAGTGGATTTAAGTTTAGGTCCACTGTTTCGTGCTTCTCAACAACTTAGTACCGTACCTGCCAAGCCCATTAATATTTTTCCTCTCTGGGCTTTGATGCGAGGAAGTGGACAACTGTGAACTTTGGCTCCCGTCTTTGTAGTTTGCTCGCGGGCACTCTGCTCCTTCCTCGAGCTTGGTTGGTGCAATTGAGTGGACTCCATCGGCATCTCTACAGAACTAGTACTTCTCTTTTCAAGCTTGCCTAACATTTGAAAACAAGTACCGCGAAAGTACCCGACTGCCGACGGCCATCGACGAAGAAAGAAACGGGCCTAGGCCTGGCTGGCCACCAGGAGGAGGAAATCAACGTTGTGCTTTCAATTCCTAGTAGATCTTTGAGTTCTGATATGCTTCGCACAGCCCGGGCTCGAATGAACTCGATGATGTGCCCCTGCAGGATAGAAGAAGGAGTTCCAGATGAGGACACCACCCCAAATCCCCGCGATGCATAAGACCTCACCATCACTGTATGTCTCAGATCTTACCCGTCCCATCGCCATCGCTCTCATCGCCACCAACGTCGAGGAGGAGGAAAGAAGTACAAAGTCTTTCAGTGACCTGACTGGCTCGACACGAGTGCCCTTCCATATCACACAAGAGGGATAACACCGGATCAGGAGCGTGTGCCAAGCAGCAAAGTTGCGTTCTTTGTCTAGCCATTGGCGCAAGCAACTGGAGGACCACCAGCATGTACGGTAGCGAGATTTTCCGCACCGCTGGCGAACGTTTCTCCTTTTCCTTACCTCCTCCACAAACCGCCCCCTTTTTTTTATATATGCCCCCTCTATAATGGATTTGCTCGCTTTAGCCCTCGTCTTTCTTATGACGGTTAATGAACCCCCAAAAACTGACTTGAAGTTCGTTCGGCCCATTTTTTCTCACTCGGTGTTATTCTGCGTTTCGGACGTTGCACAAAACCACGGCAGCGTAAAGAGTCGATGCGTGGCCCTCTGAAAGGAATGGTCCGCTTTACGAACGCGTCATATCCCTCACGTAGCCTCCAACGTTTTCCGTTGATGGCATAATGGAGGTTGCGAAAAAGGGAAAAGGAGATGGCGTAACCACCCGCCAGCCACGGATCCACCACCAACAGCCACCCCGTTAGGCACTTCAAACCTTTTTTGTGGAGCGAAAACGGCCCAAGAACCACTTGGCTTCTTTTCACATTTCTAGTGCCTCTTACATCCCCAGCCATGCCTCTTTTTCTCTTGTTTTTGCGTGTAGCTCTTGAAGGCATTTGAATTTCTCCATTCGCCGGGGCCTGGTGCCACCACCGTCTTTTTTTCTTCCTTTTTCTTTCTGTGCGTCTGTGTGTGTCGTTTTTCTTTGGGCCGGGAAGGGGCCGAGCTTTTCCAACGTCACTTGAATACCACCCTAGATATGGGTACGATCACTCATCATGGAAAGGATCCCCGTTGTTGAGGGATTCATCATTCTGGTGATGGAGGGCCAACTATATATAATGAATCAGCTATTATAACGTTTCTCCCCAAGTACACGAAGTGTCAAACAGTCAATGCTAGGCTCTCAGCCCTTCGCGGAAAATGCGGAATCTTTGAAGGTGACCAACAGCCAGGGGTGGGCATTGAATGGCATGAAATCGCAACTTTTCGCGTTGTAGCCCATCATCTTCACGGCCGTCGAAAGGAAAAGTCTCGGTGTGTTTTGACTTTTGACATCTTCACAATCAATATTCTCATCGATGGGTACAGTATCGGGATGTCACCCCAAAATTCGATCCGTTAGTTGAGATGGTCGCCACCTTCCCAGTTTTACAGTGTCTGTCCGTTCCAGATATTGTGGACTGCGGCCCGAGTCAATCCAGGTCCCGGTCAGACTACGTTTTCGACAGCTTCCATGCCCCTTTGTCATACTTTCTGCCTCGCGAGTCTTGTCCTCCGTGATTCCTTGCTTTCACAATTCTTTTTTTCTTGTTCTTGTAGGCTGACTCTCGGCAAAGACTTGGTCGCCGAGGCAGGCGCATCTGTAAAAGTGCCCTCTCCGTTACCGCGGCCGAGGAGGCGCAGACATATTAAGCCCAGTCTGTCCCTCCTCTCTATGCTGTGCTACGGACGAAGCCGAGGCCTTGGCAGACACTGATTGTTGGCTTGGCCTATTATTCGCAATCGCATTGCCAATCATACTTTTCAATTGATTTTCTTCTCGTCTGTCAGCATATCTCGCTTCACAATCCCGGCACATCGGAACAATTTAACGATGGCTTGTGGTCCTCGCGAATGTCATTCACGCTGTCACTCTTAGATCCTCGTCAAGAAGAAGAACAAAAAAACGTGGCCGCGGGACATGGAAGAGAAAACGCCGGTGGTGGCTGCCTTCCCTGAATTGCTCTACGCTCGTGTTCTTTCCTCTTTTCGTCTTAGGGCTGAGCGGTCTTGGGTGGTCACTGCCATCCCTGGCGGAAAGCCGTCACGGTATTGATGGGATTCTCCGGCCCTGTCGCGTGTGCCCATGTCAGTCCGAAATCACGCAGCGGCGGCGGAGGCGAAAAGCGAGCAGCCAACAGCGAACGACGAGAAGATTCTGAAAGGAAAATTAAACGAGAGAAGAATCGAAAAAGAAAATGAGCCGTGCCGTCCTTGCTCTTCTTCTTCTCCCTCTAATGCAGATGCGGACGTACAGTAGGATTCGGCTACTGAAAAACCATTGATC